TTTCACGAAAAATATTTTATACAATCAATTCCATATGAACAAGTCCATCCATCACGAAAACTAAGTTCTAATTTTAGAAACATAGACAATATAGAAAACAAATTGACACGTTTCCAAATATATCAAGAAACAGAACTTGCATGTAAATACAGGAATCCACTTCACAGAACACAATATTCTGAAATATTAGTTGAATACGAAAAAGGATTCGACATGACCACTGGAAAAGTAAAAATCGACCCATATGCCACAGGTCATCCTCTAAACGAAGGAACATCCTATATACCAGTTAATTTTGAAAAAAGCAACGGACAACCTGGTGGACATCTAAAACCCCATGACACCAGAAGCACACGCTTACAAGAATTATCACTAATGAATACTACATATTTCGGTAATATCCACTATGATATTCATTTAGATATGAAACTAGATTATACAATTAGCCGAATTTTTCAAGAAATGTCACTCTCCGAATTAGAAACACTACACCACCTATGCGAATTAGAACGAACACAAATATTACAATCACTTGCACTAGCAGTATTAAAAATACCCTATGCAGGATACTTATTATCTGGAAATAGATCAAATTTTTTAGACTATGAAGGAAACATCTTATGGTTTTATACTTGTACTAAAAAAGTATCACCACTATACGTTTTTGAAGATAAACGATGTTATAAAAGAATCCCTATCTTTTATAAGAATAAAGTACATTTCGTGGATACACTTTCACGAAGAACCTATTTCTGGGATACCGCAGTCCCATGTGGATCAGAAAACAGCCACAATGTAGTACAACTAAACCCTGATGAAAATGAATATTATCTTCTCACTCCATATCCCACATTAATGCAATCACTCAAAAAATTTTCACCAGAAAGCATTCGCGCTATTGCTCGAAACCCAAATATAGACTTACAATCAATAGGAATCTATTCAAAATCAGATATTCAACATCACATTAAGAACACAACAATTCCAAGAATTATTAACACAAATGGACACTATACAAAGACAATCAATAGACCAAAATTTACGCAAACTTGCAGAAACCGCAGGATTTGCCGATATCTACACGCAAGACTATAGCGGATATTTTAAAGACATTAAAGATTATATATATCTAAACGGTGAAAAATACCGTCCCCAAGATATATCACCAATTAACATTTTTAGCTTTGTTACACTCAAAAATGAGATCCTCGATTTTCTAGGATGGCCCTACTACATCTTAGAAAAATTGACTATTTTATACGCAATGTTTAACTTTATTGGATTTCTTTTCTCACTTTTAAAAGGAATCTACAACACATGTGCTATACACACACACAAGTAAACAGACAAGCAAGCGTAGCACGCATACTCTTTGCAGGATTTTTTGGAATCTTTTCTACATCTATAAACAAAATTCTTTTAGACGCACAAATAAAAGAATATAACACAAAAATAGCAACACGACAAAATACATACGACGAAGAACATAACAATGTAGACATAACGCCAACGGCACCACAATTACCACCCCTACCAAATAACCATCCACTATCCCTAGTCCCACGAAATTTTCGAAATTTAGCCATCACACATAATCCAAATTTTCGACTCACCACATCACAAAGTCCCATCCAACATATAATGACACACCAGTCACAAGATGATAATACTTATGAACAAATTATTGAACAACCCCATACCACCGCTTTTCAGTCTCAAAATAATCATTTTTTTAGCCCACGATGAGCCGCCAACTTGGATCACTACACCGATCAAATTCCCACCCAACCAATCTTACCTCTCCAATCCCAATAATACCACTTTTTGCTTTTCCGCCACCCGATTTTCCACCTAGTAATGTAACATCAGGCATGAATTCCGACACTAATTCACACATCTCAGTTTTATATTCCATCTCACAACTCAATAACCCGAATATTGAAACCCCCGATGAATTTGCCGACTCAGAACCATCCCCATCCAATAATTTTCATAACTCTTCTAATTTTTCTCAACCCCCTTTTCAACCCATATTATCCAATAACCCTGACCCAATCACTTCCACACCCTCTTATGCTTCCCAAGTTACCCCAACCTACTCCTCATACCATTCTGACCAATCATCTCATTCTCCAGACACCCCCCGAATCTCCCCAGAGCTAGATAATTTTATTACCCTTCAACAACAACCCTACCACCTTAATACCCCAACCATAAACCAAATCTCCTCCACAATAAATTCATCCAACCCCCCTACCCCTACACCCTCTTCAAATTATACTGAATCATTAGCACCATCATCCACATCAACTGAATCTTCACTCAACACTAATAGAGCTTACCGCACTTTTAAAAGAAAGTTCCCCAACCATCCTTTCCCAGCAAAACCAGGAACAGCCCGTGAATACATCAACCACCCCAAGCATACTAACACAAAAGAATTTTTAGCCATCACCTTACCCTCATTCCCACAATACACCTTAAACACCCCCCACGACACTAACGAAACACGCAACTTTGTAGATGAATACGTTTTAATGCCCACTCTCTCTTGGACCTCATATTATCATTTTACTAACCCTCTTTGCTTACCTTTATCTAACACTCACATCGATATAGAGCGAAATACGGACATGCTATATCGACTCACTACACCACTCACCGCTAGACAATTTACTTACGTTGGATATAAAAAATCATTAAAAACACACACTGCACCTAGAGCTAACGAATATACACTCGAATACTATGATCACAACATCATCAGAGCTAACCAAGATCAATTCTTAGACGACGATCGCTTCGCTAATCCACAAATTACTGAAAAATTTTTCATCAAGACACCATATATATTTACACTAAACATCTTCGACCGAAAGTTTGATCACATTATTTCAGAAGCACTAACAGACACACAAGCATACGAAAGTTTTAAAGAACGCTTCCAAATATTTTCACTAACCTTTCATTTCCTTGCACCACACGAAAGAGATTTACACTGCTCACACGATATTATGTTGCGCACTAAACAAACCCACACATATAGTTATTACCGCTTCATCCAAAATCACTTTGACCTACACACACCCTCTAGACAACCACACCATCGTTTTCAATTCATTAATTCCAAATACACTTCACCATTTTTCCTAAATTTCACATACTGTATTAAAGATACTAACCTTCATGGTATTCTTCGCAATTATGATCCCATAACCCAAATGTACATCTTCTGTCCCATCACCAAGACCTTCAACGCCGAAGAATCCCGACCCTTCCTTCTCCCGCACGAGTTTGTACAACCCATAGAAATCCCAATTTTAGAATTCATCCACAACACTAAATTCAATCACAAATTATATAATCTAATCCAAAACACACCTTATGAGTTTGCAGTTAGCACTGAAGAACTAACCACTATTAAGGCACTTCAATTGCTTTGGCCACTGCTTCAGACTAAAAATATCATCCGCATCTTAGCTAAACTACTAACAACTTCAGAACTAATTCACGACATCTTCCCCCACGGTTTTTTCCCCGACGACTAACAGGTAAGTATGAATTAAATGAATATTACTAACTAATTGAAATATTAAAAACTCACCATTCTTTATCCATGTTTTCTTTAGATTTTTAGCCTTCATCCGACAATCACCTACAAAAACCACAAAAGACAAATAAAAATCGCAAATTTCATCAAACAGATTTCAAAAATTCTATTAATCTCTTACACTTATAAATTTATAAATTTAATACCAATGCAGTAAATTCATTTCTAAAATTTTCCCCACAAGCAGTAAATTTAATTATGATGAAAATTTGTAACTTAAAATTCCCCCATGACTAGCAGTAAATTTCTAAATTCTATGCAATAAATTAATAAAATGCAATTGCAGTACTAACCTTTTGATATTTTCATTCATTCGCACAGAAATTCTATCCACACTCGCACAGCTCGCCCACGAAGAATTGTTTAAAATAATGAATTTCAGTTTCAAGTTTTCACACTCAACAACTCTAACATATAATGACATGTTTCAAACTTTCCTTTAACCCGGTTGGAAAGGAATCATATACTAAACAAAACTAACCAACGCAGCTTACTAAATACCACAAATCATAGAATAACAGCATGACTAAGAAAAGGAAACCAACGGTACCCAAACCGGATTAACCCAGTTTAAAACTGGATAATTTATTCTTTTGAAGACTATTATAAAGTCTAAGAAAGAAAAAATAAAACACAAAAAAGTCGAAAGACAAACCCATACCACAAACAATTTGATTTTTGGAAAAAGGACATAACCAACAAGACATAAGAAAAACCACAACAAACCCAACATAAAACGTTGTCACATAACAGGACCCCTCACAAAAACCGCATGAAATCATACTCCCACTCCTGGCCTAACCCACCAGGAAGGACGTCCTGAGCATGCTCTATAGCCGGCCTAACCCACCGCGCTACATCCACGCTTTGTGACCACACCACTATTTTTAATAAGAGCTACTCAAGTGTGAGTAACTCTTCAAAATAACCGAACTAAAACAAAAAGCTTTTGTGAAAACAACTAACTAAAATCATAATTAAAAAATATTAAACTAATAAATGTTTTATAAAATGTAAATTACATTATGCAATACATAGATCAGAATACAACACCAAGGACGAACATCTAAAGACAAAACGACCCCACTACACTCGAGAGAGAATGACCAACCACAATCGATATGCCACTCACAATCACAACTCAAAGGATTTAGAGTACGACTTGACTTCGCAGAAAAGGACTTCATTGAACTAGACCAATGACCACCTCGATGACCCAAGTGTACGTACAGATCCGAGTAACCAGGCATCCCCTCCACGCACAATCTCCACGCCATTCCCAAACTAGATCATACACAAAAGAAGTTCTCCACGCAGAACAGAAAAACCTGACATAGCAAACCATTCTGAAATCAGATTTGAAGTTGTTGTAAAGACTTAGTCGTTGTCACTAGAAGACACAACGTCTTATGTCTCTAACTCCAGCTTCCTGGAACTTCTTTAACAAAAAGAAAACAGAAGAAATAAGATGTTCGCCAAACACCAACGTCCATCATCCATCCTTCGAATTGCAGAAGAACTATTCTAAAAAAAAAAAAACTCTGTAAAACCCGGATGGGTGGAACCTGATCTAAACTACATTTTATGATTGGATAAATTAAATGTTTTACCAATGTAAAGTATTTAATATTAACCAATCATGATCCATCTAACTAACAACCCACTTATTTGTAAGTGCTGAAGTTACTTGTAATTTCAGCACCAGAGAGATTTGAATTTAACTTAGAAATTAGTTGGACTCTCCCGAGCACTTCAGCAACCGCAATAAACCAGTATACCCTAGATCTATTGAGCCTAGCAGAGACTAGTTAAACAACCTGAGACTAGATAGTATAAGAGTAAGATTAGGATCGGTATTAGACTAAGAAGTTGCACGAATCTATCCGGCCGAAAATAAGATAGCGTGACGAGCAGACGGTGTACCCTATCCGAAATTACTCTATGAGTTAACCAACTCGAAACTAACTCAAATGCCAGTATTATGGATAATAAAACGATATCAGTAGATTCAATTACACTGATACTTGATGTATGAATGGTAGTTGTTTTTTTTTCACAATTCATACATCTAAGTTCCATGATTTCCATGATGTAAAAATCCGTGGACACTCGAATTTTCAGGTACCTTTCACATATCACAATTTGATGTTAATTGTACCTTTGGCTTGTCTCTGGATATGAGCTTGGATGTGTCTATGGCCCCTAGTGGCTTCATGTCCTCAGGTAGTGGATTCACAGTGTAGTGGTGCTCCCTCTTGCGCCACGAACCATTCAGCTGAAAGAAAACAAATGTACACAAATAAGGAAAAATCATAATAAAATCCTGTCTTTTCTATCGTGGTTCAGATTTTTTTAACGATAATCTATATAACCACTATTTCATGACTTCAACTTTTTTCTTGCGATCCGATCCTTAAATCTTGCTCTTAAATATGCACTGGGTCCCAAACATCACTCACCCTTAGAAACTCCCGCAATTTTGGTATTTTTTTCTATCACGTATACAGATAGATTAGATTCAACCAATAAAGGCAGCATGTAAAAAGTGATTTACTATTGCTTCGACCCGATAACAAAATTTGGAGCAAAAAAAACATTTCGAGTAAACTTTTTATTTTGATAGAATTTACTATTTGAATAATCTTCATATTAAAACTAACTTTCTGAGCTTTCCGTGTTCTCAACGGGGAACTGGCCGCGCTGTTCGACTTATACCCCCCTCCGTTATTCTGTGTCAAATGGGGAATAGTCTTATTAACTCCGACTGTGAAGTTATTCATCGACACTGTGTCTTCGTTGCTGTTGTAGTTGGAATAGGTCGTGTGTTCTATCCAACTGAGCCACCAGTTCTGCGGGATGACGAACCACTTGGATCCGAGATTGAGAAGGCTCTTTTCTCGTTTGATGAACTTCCTGCAACCATTCAAGATATTGCAAAACTAGGCATCGAGTGCAAATTCTGATAGCTGGACTCCAAAAAAACCAGATGGATAGTTAGATTTTTGACTTTTTCTTTGTTTTTCTTTTTTAAGTACAAGTTTATGACAATAGAATAAATAGAAAACTAAATTTTTCGAAAAAAAAAATTAAGCCACAGAGGGTTAAAACTTTGCGAGCCCAAAACTACTGTCAAAACTCAGTATTTTGCAATCGATTGCAATTAAACCTCTGCTCAAGCTATGAGTATTGATCCAAATTAATGCAATTAATGATCCATAAATCAAATTTTAAGTCAGTGATTCTTTAACTCACTTAAGGATGGTTCCCTCGTGCTCCGGCGTGAGAGGCTTCAACCCAAACACCACGTGACAGATCTGCTCCAAAAGGTCGCAGAACACATCCAACACAGAAGTATTTGAGGCCCAGATGAGAAAGTCATCTGGTTGGATAAAAGAGTCCTAGAACATTACAAGCAAGTTAGTTGATCAATAAGATAGATTGGATACCTCGAAAGAGAACCAAAAACAGACAAGACAGATCCATATTTTAGATGTCCATTTTGAAATCTATGAAATTTTGCAAAATTTTACTTCAATTTTTCAAAACGCGGCTATTTTAATGCAAAAAAAACGGTTCGCATTTTTACAAATAATTGGTTTGAATATTGTCTGTAGGTTGTCAAGTTTGCAAGAGCACGATTACTTTATACGGACATCTGCTCTTGAAAGAAACCACGCTTTGAGAAAGAAAAAAGTTTTGACAAAATTTACTGGATGACACAACTGCATTAATATCATTGACATCATTTAACTCTTTCGTTGACATCGTTTAACATTAACTTTTTCTTTTATAAAATCTTTGGGCAAATTTGTTGTTTTTTGAAGTTTGAAAGGAGGCCTCAACCGGACTGCTTTAATTTTATTGTAAATAATTTTCGAGCCAAAAAGCAACCAGACAAGCAATCGCCAAATTGAAACCACTGAAAGGGGATCCTTAGCAGACCTGTGCACCTCACAGCTAAACTATAAAAATTCATATTAAAATTTTTTGTTTGATTTTTTGTAAATGTTTTTCTATGTCTGAAAAAATAAATTCTTTCTTTCTTTCTTTAAAATTCACTCACAAAATCTGGATCGTGTTTGCGCATGATCTCATCGATAATAGTCTGCGAGTCCAGAAAAACTTGCGACAACGCGGGATGAGACCTCGCACTGCTTCCAGCTACATGGCCATTGCTTCCATTCATGCTCATAGCTGAACAATTATTCGCACCGTGCGAAAAAGGGTGCAGTCCAGTGTATTGTGAAAATTGGTACTGCATGCGCACGCATATGTCGACCAGGTTGAATATTTCTGCTTTTGAGAGCATTCCGTCTCCATCGAAATCGAACATGCGGAAAAGAACTAAAAACAAGATGCTAGATGAAAACTAGATGCGGAAACATTCTATATCGATCATAGCTCCTCCAAGTTAATTATTTTGGTGGAGAATCGTAACTTGGTCTAAATAGGCGCGAGGATCATAATGAAATACAAAAAGAAGGTAAAACATCAATTTGGCCTGAACAAGCGCGAAAAGTTTAATTTGATCTCTGAAATCTTTTTTGAACTTCGAAAAAGGGGATTTTTGTAACTTACACTTCCTTCTCTCCAATTGTGGTCCTCTGCAACAAGCAGACAGTCCACAGACATACTCATTGAAATCCACATTCGCATCTCCATTAGAGTCGAAGGCATTGAAGAAACCAAGAGTCACCTGAATACAACAGAGGAGAGATGAGAAATTCGGCTTATTTTAACGTAATGTAGTCAACAGACGAAAAAAAAAACGCTAAGCAACTCGAAAAAAAACTTTTGACGATGATTTTAAAGCATTTTCCAAAAAATTTTTTCGAATTTCACCTAAAATAAAATATATAAAATAATAAACATTTTGGAGGATGAAAAAAAAATAGATTATTTTAACACAGAGGCAATGCGGAGCTACAAATCAGTTGCCATATAAAATATTATGCGAGAATAAGAGCGTAACAATGTGACTGTGAAAATACCAATGACAAATTTCATATTTTTCGGAAAACTTCGAAATATTACAAGAGCAAGAACAACCTGGACAATCACCTACACCTATGATTCATTAGAAGTATTTCATCAAAAACTCTTTATGATTCATAAAAAAACTACGTGAATAAGACATGCCGAAATGGAGAAAAATTGAGATTTTTTTTTGCATAACACCGGCATTTACATACAATTCAAACGATTGCAAGCTGACAAAATCATGATTTCAAAAAAAAACAAAGGCAAGCCAACCTTCATTACTAAAATCATACATAAGAAGATGAAAAACCAAAAAAAAAAACAATATTTTTGGAATTTAATCATTTGCACCTTAAGCCGAATAGACTCAAAAGGGTTTTGAATGATGAAGAAAAAGGCTTATAACATGAACAAATCTCGTGCAGTGGCAACTAATCGGACAAAATCAGCAGCCAAACAATTTTTGTACAGCAGAATATTTTTCGTCTGCAAAAAAAACAGGTCCTGACCGGATTCGAGCCTATGACCCTTGTCGCCCCAAGCTAAGCGAGCTAAATTGATATCACTTACTTGACTTTGGCTGCCCATGTCATTGAGCGAAATAAACAATAACAAGGGTATCCGAATGCTAAGCAAATAGCAGAATGGTTCGACGAGAAAAATCAAAAGATGCGGATATTCGCCTAACTAAATTCCCCTTTTTATCTCCAACATTTTTTTCCAATTCGTCATATTTATTATCACTGGAATACCTCCGAAATCAGAAAATGTATAGTTTGAAGAATGTTATTTTCTGACAAATGAAACTAATTTAAAAATATTCGTTTTTACATATTGCTGATAATTTTATCTTAGGATCAAGTATTGTATTAAAACGTAAATTAAGCACAAAGTACGAAAATAAGGGTGACAGGAACTTAGACGGAAAACCATTTAGACATCTTTAATAAAACGGAATATAGATGTGAATTTGTTTTTCAAAACTAGCATTTCGGACAAAAAGCAAATTGCTAACAAAACTTATTGCTGGAAACAATTTTTCACAAATACAAGAAGAGTATACAATGCCTTTGATAATCAAAATATTTACACAGACGCGAAGCTGCGTTGTTGTTGTTGTAGTCGCCTCTCGCCGGGGCCCTACATTGTGGGGTGTACCCCGGCCAGGTCAATGAAACGGGCGGCTTCCACCGGGTTTGTCCAAAGGGCAGTGAGGGGGAGGTCAGTGGGGTTTGTGGGGCACTGGAACAGGTGGGCAGTCGTGTGGGGGGCTGTATGGCAGAGGGGACAAGAGGACCCTTGGTCTGGTTCGAGCCTGGCCCGGTACGACAACAGGTGTTGACTGTAGCCGGACCGAAGTTGGCTGAGGGTCCTCCGAGTACGTCTGGGTAGGGTCTTCTCCTCTCGGACGTTGACAGGAGGGGGTCTTGTACCGAGGACTCCAGACGGTGGATACGACTGGGTTGTCGTCGCCACCGTCTCTGTGTGCACAGTTTTCAGGAGCCGTCGGTACTCCTTCGTTGGTAGCGGCAGGTCAACGCCTTCGAGGAGGTGTTCCAGACGGGGGGCATGGGCAGAGACTAGTGTGGGTTTCATTTTGCGGGGGGGAGGAGGTTTCTCGAGGAGTCTCTGACCAGGGTGTTCAGGGAGGTGGCAAGCCAAGAGATGTTGTGTTGCAAGCATTGCCGTGTGGGCTTTCACCGGGAGCACCTGCGTCTCTTCGTGTAGGTGGCTTTGGGGGGCCATTAGATGGTTCCCGGTGGCGACCCGCAGAGCCGCGTTTTGGATGGTTTGCAGACGCTTGACACTGGTCTCGGATGCGACTGTAGACCAAACTGGGGCCGCGTATTCGAGACGAGGCCTGACCAGGGCTTTGAAAGTCACGAGTAGCGTTTCCGTGTCCTGACCCCAGTCCGTGCCTGCCAAGGCCTTCATGGCGTTGACCGCCCTGGAGGCGTTGGAGGCAGCGACCCTGCAATGTTCCCCGAACTTGAACATCGGGTCAAACCTGACACCAAGTACTTTGGGGTGTTTTTCCAACTTGAGCGGGATATCTGCCACCGTCAAGTGTGGTTGTACGTTGCATTCCTTGGTGTCAGGCGTGAGTAATGTTACAGCGCATTTTCCGGGGGAGAGTGCGAGTTTGAGGGATTGAAAGTAGGACGTTAGGGAGTCGAGGTATGGCTGCAACTTAGCGGTGATGATATTGATCTTCGGCCCGCTGGCCCAGGGCGTCACGTTGTCTGCGTAGCTCACCACGTTGACACCCTCGGGAGGGGAGGGGAGGGAGACAACGTAGGAGTTAAATAGAGTCGGTGATATGACAGTGAGGGGGAGGTCAGTGGGGCTGCGTTCACAAATACAAGCGAGAACACTACTAAAATCTAGCTCTAGAAAGTGAAATAAGAAAAAGTAGAAATAAGCCTCGAATTAGTAAAGAAAAAAAACCGTCTCCGTGTCCTATTCGATCCTTCGTCCTAAAGATTATGAGTTCCACTCAATAGTCATGGACGCTTAACAATTTACTAACACTAATCACAAATAAACGAGAGAACACATGCTACAAAATTTCCAATGCTAGAGATCGTGATTACAACAAAATTGCCACCAAATGAGTACTTTTATTTGCGAGTTAGATCGAAAAAAAAGATCGTGCTAATACACTATGCTCCCAAGTTTAATTAACAATGATGTATAACGTTAATCCGAATATTACAAAACATTTTTGAAGTGCATAAACTATTTAAATGCCATACGTGAAAAAATGTTTTGCATTTAAAAAAGCTCTAACGAAAGTTAATTGTTGTCAGCGAAAATTACTTGCAGTCAGTAAACAAATTTCACACACATTAAAACTACAATTACATCCAATTTCTCATATTTATAGTTTTTCAGCAACGTCTAAATTCAGTTTCTCTGGTAACGTCTAATTTGTTTTTCGTCTAATTTCCTAGTCCCCGAAAATAACGAATTGGAAAAAACTGTTCATGATAAAAGGGCAACTAAATAAGGCAAATTCTGAAAAACGGACACTGTCTACTTTATTAAAATTTTTTTTGAGTCATGACCAAAGGACTTCAACATGATATCACACTTAGACCCATGCGAGCCGCCTTGAGTCACCTAAAAATGCGCACAAAAACTACTCCTTCCAATCAGATTCAATGCTGTGGTCGCAACTATAACTTAAATTTATCAAAACTACTCACTTCTTCAGCAATTGGGGGACAGACTAGAGCGTGGAATGTGGGGAAGTCGAGTGCCATCTTGGACTGAGCACAGAGACTGAAGAAGTGCTTCTCAAGCAGTGCAATTTCCCTTTCATCCACTGAAACGCAAAACCAAACTATACACTACTTAACTAGAGACCAGCTAAAGCTGGAAATAGCTGTTCGATGATTTTTGAAATGTTTGTATTAATGCGGAAGGACAAGGGTAATTTCAAAAACAGACCTATAGCAAAGAAAAGCAAGTCCCAATTTAATGACTTCAAAACCTGTTATTTTCATCAATTAATTCAGTTTTTTTTTTAAATTGAAGTGATTACACGAGCTTGTTAGGTTGAACGATGCTTAAAATGTTGCTCATTAGATTTGAGGGAAATTTTCGAGAGAAGTCAAAAAACGGTTAAAAAAAACAGTCCAAAATTCGTCTTTTCCGAAGGGTCATAACTTTTTGTGTAAAAGTCCGCTTATGCAGGGGAGCTTCCCAATTTTTTCTACCCGTTGAACCTAAAACCCCTTATTTGGGAGCAGTAGCGGATTAAGTGGGGGGGGGGGGGTTCGCACGCTCCTCCTCCCTCAGGGATTCGACCCTTGTTGACCCTAAGGGTCCCCCCTTTGTACTATTTTGAGATATCCATTTTTGGCTGCCTGACCTTAAAATTTCTAAAATCGCCTTCGTTGTAAATCTATACATATTTTGTTGGTCGAAATTTTCGAAAACGTGCCCAAAAACGCCTTTTTAAGCCTTTTTTCAAAATTTGCTTGCGACGCAGAAAATTTGCTCAAAATAGGGCCTTTGTAGTGGTTTGGGAGAGCTCAGAAAATCAATTTGGTCGACCTTAAAATAAGGTAGACAAAATTTTCAAAGGTCGACATGGGAGGGTAGTTTTTGAGGAAAAACTAAATTTTTGAAAAAAGTGAAACACTTTTCCAAAGCGTCTTAAAAAATAAAATAATAAAAAAAACCCAGTCCCATACAGTTTCATCATAATACCTGTTTTAACCGTTTGCATGTGTAATAAAATGTAGTAAATGACATACAGTGTGTAATTTTGGCAATGGTGCTGTATAGAGTGGGGACTGCAAACAAGTGGACAGCAGTTGAACATGGCAGTTGGAATCCAGGCACTGTCTCGTGACACAACAGCCATTTGAGGAAGGAGAAGTAGTCTGCATTCTGAGTGGCCCAGGAGGAAAACAGGTCATATTCGATCAAATGGAACTAAAACAAAATTGAAAAATATATATTATAGAATAAAACCAAAGTTAAAAAATTATGGAATAAAAGCTCTCAGCTGTTAAAAACAGTATCATCAGGAACCAACCGTCAATCAAATTCTATCGGTTTGAACTGCAATATATATTAATGACCAGGCGCGGATCTAGGTTTTTCTCGAGTGGTAGAATAAAAAAACCTGAACGAAAAAATAGAACTAAGACATATTCGACAGTCATAGTAACACAGGACAATTAAAAAACAGCTTTTGCCGGTTAATGACTCAAAAAAACGAATAAAAATGGTTACTAAAGTCACAAAAAAACTTCAAAGTTTGCAGAAAATTTTTTGAATTTTTGATTTCCAAAATAAGCATAATTAGGCTATTGTAAGCCTGCATGCTCACCTTATTCGCTCGAAATCAGACCAAAACTAAAAAAAATCAAACCGGTTTTTCTTGACAATGAGAAAAAACTTTCAAAACTTTAAAACTTCGGTCGAATTACGACTGAAAACTCTTTAATTTGATATAAAACTCGACCCAGTCCAATGATTATTTGAGGTACCTGAATTTGCGTAAAAACAAAAAGAAAAAATTTTTTTAAAAAAACTAACAAAATAGTCAGAACAAAAAATGAAGCCTCAATAACTTTGATGAATACTAGCGCGTAACGCACCTCCGGTGCTTTTTATTTTTTTTTCACAACTCATAAAAAATCCCACACTGGATAAACGATCTGCATCCTTTGTGTGTACTCTGACAGCTCCCAATTATAGGGTTGGTAATTTCAAACTTTGTAAAGTTTATATTCAAGTTTTTCTTTAATCAAATTTTGAAAAACCATAAAACTTTGTGAAGTTTTTTTTACATCTAAGTTCTTTGAACAATTTTAAAATAACATAAAAATTATCATACCTCGGAAACTTAAATCAATTGAGCAGTTTTTTTTTTTAATTTTTGGATAACATAATTATCATTTCTCAAAAACTACAAAGATTTGAGAACAAACACTTGGAGATAAGACTCGCCACCCCTGAGAGTACTATGACAGCCCCCAAATAGAGGGTTAGGAACTTCAAATTTTGATAAAATATTTTAAATTAAGTTTTCTGAAAACTTTTTGAAAAAATCCCAAAAAACGTCATATCTCAAAAACTGCAATATTTTGAGCAGTCAAATTGAAAGCAAAACTCGCAACTCTTTGGAGTACCCTTACAGAGCATCACCATAGAGATGAGAACCTCAAACTTTGTGACATTTAGATATAAGAAATGTCACAAAGTTTGAGGTTCTAAGTTCTTTCATTATTTTTAAAAAAAATGACTTAATTAACGTCACATCTCGCAAACTAAGAGCATTTGAGCAGTCGCATTTGGACGCAAAAATTTCAACTTAGAACTGCTGAGAATACCCTCACAGAACCCAACTACAAAGTTGAGAATTTTAAATCTCATTTTTTAAAAAAATAAGTTTTCTGAAAAATTAAAAAAGATATCATAAAACTTGTCATATCTCAAAATTAGGGATTTGAGCAGTCTTATTTGGATGCAAGAATCGCAATCCTTGAAAGTACATTGACAGTACCCCATTGCAGGGTTGGGAATTTCAAAGTTTGTGAATTACTTTGAGTTTTCTGAAAATTTTCTAAAAATCACAAAAATCTTCGTATCACATTAAGAAAAATGATTTGGGCGATCATAATTAACAGCCCTGGCAGCATCCCATTATTGAGTTGGTAATTTTATACTCGGTTAGATACATATTGAATTAAAATGAAAAATCGAAAAAAAAATATCTTAACCAGTGCAATATACGATATAGCTTAAACGTGCAAAAATTCTTTCCTTAAACATAAACATGGCAAAAGGTTGAACATGGCGAGATAGTGAATCCCGCATGGCCTTAAAATCCTTTGATTTTCAGAACCAATTCATGGTTGACACTTTTTTTCATGAAAATTAGCTTGATTTGGCAAAACGGGTTCCAGAAGTAACTTAATTTTGTTCCGCTGGTAAAACTGGAAATTGAATTCCATTTTCGACACTAAAACTCGATTATCTTTTTGCTACCTACATACTTTTGCTGTTTGAGTGCGGAGGTTGCTTTGCTTTAAACAAAAAAATGAACTGAACTTGGAAATAAACCAAAAATCAAGTTTTAAGACTTCCTGAAAAAAGCAAAAAACTTCACGACCTATTTAAGTGTCATCACTGCGTTCATTGACACTTCAAACAAAAAGAGCACATTAACCGAGCGTTTGTTTTGTTTTTTCATTCGATGTTAATAACATGTTCGTTAACATCCACCCCAAAGCTCGAGGTTTTTGACGAGGTCGTGAATTAATAGCAAGAAACAATCAACAAAAAGAATCGATAAGTGATAGGGAAGATAAAGACTAGTGCCATGAGCTATTCCGTCAGAAAATTTAAAACGAACAAAAAAACATTGAAAAAATAACCGAAAATAACGAGTCGTGAATTGACGATTTGAGAAGAGCACTAAGCGATAACCAAGCTGACACACATTGGGTAAGCGCCAGTTAAGCCGAAAATATTTAGAATTTTGAAGTCATACTGAAGTTGTAACCCAACTTGAAACTCGAAAAAACTGATCTGTTGGAAAGACATTAGGAAGCCCGATTTAATTATATAAGTTTCAAGCTCATTATGATTAAAAGGTTGAGCTTGCATTGGAGTCGCTTAAAATATTTTCTTTTGAGGCTGCTATCTTGCAAAAACTGAGAACTATGTTGAAAATCGAACTTCCGATAATTGTCATCTTAAGCATGGGTATTGCCACTGCACTAAATGCACAGAACACACTCTGAATTTCTAAAGAAAACAATTTTCAATATTTTAATGAACAGCATGCAAAAATTTGTAAAAAAAAAAACCAAAAAAAGACCAAACTTCTTGGAGCTCAATGACTTACCCACAACCGGAGTAAATCGACATTTTTTATAATTCGAGTAAAAATATACCCAAAATTAAAGCCAATTTGTTGCTCCAGTAACTAAGCTGACAAAAAAGCAGACAAACAAAGTTCGACAAAGAATTTTCTGACGCGCTGACAATTTTCTGCTTTCAAAAAACGGGTCCTGGCCCGATTCGAACCATTGACCTTTGTCTTTATTAGAGGGTGCGTTTACTGCTCGCAACATGTGCGAATTAACGTCTCACTTTTGATTTCATACGGACCAAAAGTAAAACTATTCAAGTGATTCTGTTGAACTAGTTCCGGTTTTAAAGTATGTATTCCGGTTTGATAACTCTTGCTTATCGCAAGCGTAACTATAATGTTACATGAATCAAATAACTTTTGTCAGTTCTTTTGATGAATTACAAAAAACATCACCTGTGTTAAGCTATTACTACTCATATGTCAATGGTATTTGTACTGTTAATGATGCCTACTGCTTTAAGTGCCCCAAAAATAGCACTTTCACATTGTCAAGTGCCACAAAAATGGCACTTATATTTGCGACATAGATTGGAAAAGCTTTCATTGTACTATAACACTACGCTACGCACGTGTAAACATTACGTATACTTTGACTGCAAGCACTAGCTGACTTAGAGGGGATGGCACCCCTCAGGGATTTTAACCCCTGACTTAAAAAAAGGTCCCCCTTTGGTACTTTTTAAGACATCCATTTTTGGCTAACCAACTCTGAAATTTGTTCACAAACGCCTTTGGGGCCCGTAAATACTAATTTTGAGGAAATAATGCGCGCCGAAAAATGCGATTTTTTGGTCAAAACTTTCAAAATAAAGGCGACTTTTACCCCAAAAAATTGCCGACGGCCCAGAAAATTTGGTCAAAATAGGGTCTTTATAGTGCTTTGGAAGAGCTCGGAAAATCAATTTGTTCGATCAAAAAAATGACGACAGAAAATTTCACTCCCTTCGAGAAAACCGTACATCCTCCCCCTGACTGCAAGCATGCTGAAAACGTCTGCCATTAAATTATACCGGCACTAGAGAAAAGAAATAAGACAAAAGCCAGCTCAAAAAGAGCAAATTAGAGAGAAAAACCAGACTACTAGCAGATTTGATACAAGTACTCATATCAAAAGTATGAATTAAATTGCCTTTCTTATGCAACTACGTTTCGATTCTCATCCTCCGTTTTATATATGTCATCGATTTTCAATTCTGATTTTTTTGTGACTATTCCTCTCTAACTCACCTTGTCGATGAACTCTTTCACGCCATCGAACCTGACTTGGTCTTCTACAGTTCGGAACAGATTCACACTCTTCGTCTTGTTCAACGTCGAGTGTATATTGCCATTGCTAGACAGAACCTGGAACAGCACTGAAACAACGCAACACAAAAAGTTAACGCTAGTTACAAGAAAGTTTCACTCTCTTCATCAATATCAAAATTGAAAAAAATTTCAACATATAAAATTTCATTTTACAAAATTAAGGTATTGAGCTTAAATTTTCCTTCAAAGTATTGTTTCGAACAATGCAGCATCAAAATTTTTGGACTTTTTTCCATTACAGCCCCAAGGCTAAAACAAAAAATATTGCTCCACCACAGTAGGACACGGTACATGTGAATCATACCAATTAAGAACCTATAAAAAAGCACGAAAAAATTATGAAGCTCTATTCCATCAATATTTTCGAAATATAAAAATGCAAGTTAACAAACAAATGAACCTATTGTTTCCCAGAAGTTGAGTCAATTTGAAAGTGTCTAAGAGACCTTTTTATGTTCGGGTTCTAACTCTCATACTTGTACGTATGACATCAGTATTTCGTGAGGCTATAAAGGGAAAGAACCAAATTTTGCTATTTGAACAAAATTTCAACTCACATTTGACTCTGTCACAATGCCATGTCGGGGAAGTTACTCGGCTGAAGTTGTGCAGCCCCCTCAGAAGATTATCAAGTGACACTCCATCCGAACTGCCTCCACTGAAGGCGTAAAAGAGAAACTGAAACAAACAAATTGTTTTTTTTCCTTCTTGAAAACGACACTTAATTGCTAGTTTGCCAAAAATGTTGTCTTAAAATGCTTGAAATTAGAAAAATTTTAGAATTCTGGTAAATTGTACTAACTCCAGAACATTTGAAAAATTTGGCCACAACAATTTAGGGTGGAGCTAGCGCACTGTGTACGCTACTACTTGCACACTAATATTTTAACTAATTTAATAATACAATTCGCATTTTTCTTACAGCAGCTTATTATAATACTCACTATTTACAGATAAACAAATTATTCCGAATTTTTGAACCTTCACAATGAGTCACGAAAGTTCAAATATACGAAATATGCAATTTCTCCCAAACTTGTTTTCAAAGTTTTGCAGTGAGGAAAAATAAAACCAATAATGAATTATGACAACTGCGCATGAAAAATTGAACAGTGGGTGGTACTTTGAATTAATCTAAAATTCAATAGTTCCAGTATAATACCCTATTCTTCGCGTTTAGTTCTAAATGAGCCACAAGAAAAACTGTACAGCACAATTTAGTAGCCTCCGGTCCTACGCATTGCAGGGTGTTCATTCATTTTGCTGTATCTGTTTCCACCTCGAGGAGGCGGATGACAGTAGGAACTCTCCAACCGAAATGGGATTCGAACGCATTACTCTCGTGTTAAGAGACGCGCGTCTTACCTAACTGACCACGGCTGCTATTAAAATACCTCTACTGACCTCTGCTACAGCCGGTGGAAACAGATCCCCGAGTACTTTCTCGTAAAACACATTCCTCTTCATTTTTGAACTCATCTTGTCACAGCACTTCAGATACATCTGTCTGTACATGGCCAACTCCTCGTCCGAAACTAAAACAAATTTTTTTTAGGAAACATCAAAAAGACTCCTCGTATCAGAGCGAAGCTCTGAATGTTCCAACTGCTGTTTAAACACTGCCATTTTTTTGTCAAAATTGATAAAATAATTGGAAAAAAAATCAAAAATTTTGATTTTTTCCATTTTTTTCTTCATTTTATCCAAACCACCTCATGCTATGCAAGCACAAAGTGACACATTTTGAGTACATTTAAGCATTATTAAGAGCAAAGGCTTGGCTAGTTCAATTTGGAACGACCCAAGTAGCAGCTCACGCTTTAATAGCACGAAATATATCGCACGTTAATTATCCCAAATGGGCCAAATCAGCAACGTTCCAATCCCCAGAACTTTACAAAAAATGATCACAAAAAAGATACATAACTTTACAAAAAATGAATATAATTTTTAGATTTGAGCTCAGGGTATCAGCAACTTTCGGATGGTACAGAATCGTCAAAAATAGCTAGATAAAAAGGCAAAATTGGCCAGGAGAAAAACCATCCTGAGCACAAATATTCCGTTACTTTCTACGAAGCATGTTTCCAATATTATGACCAAATAAAAAGATCTCTTCGTGTGCTAATAACCCTAAATAAAAAACTAAAAACAATACTGGCTAATCAAGAGGGTAATTACAGAGGCAAAAGTGAGCTTGATATACATCCGGCACAGAAAAAAATTGAAGGTAATCAAAAACTAAAGCCTGGTACAAAATCTATAGAAACCACAAAAAATTCTCAATTACTAGTAGCAATGAGAAAGTTGTCCCAAGCGACTAGCTTGGACGTTAAATTTGAGCTGAATCATCATCATCATCATCATCATCATTATTTATATAGACACCTCTTCTTGTTCTCAGAGGTGAATGTGCAGAACCAGTCGCTTCAACTGTAACTGATAATGAAAAAAAAAATCAAAAAACAACACTTTTGAGGAAACCAGATGGAAATTAAAATAGAAAGTCGATCAAATCTTCAAATCAAGACCAATATTAAAAAAGCTGACATTCGATAGAGCTGTCACATTTTATGAAGTTTTCCATGAATAACACTCACAAAAATGAATAAATATATATACGAACAAAATAAAAGTGAGACTGATTTTTGTTTGTTTTTGGCTATAATAAACTGGTTTTGAACACTGATAACTAGACTTAAATTGATATTCTCAGAACAACTAAGACAGAAGTGTTTATACTAGTGTAACTATAATCTTAGAACTGAGTGTCAATGAAGTTCAATGAAATTGAAGAAAAAACGGCAGATAAGACAAAAATAAAGACAAATTTGCATTTCAAAATTTAGAAACTTCGAAATCAAACGAGAAAGAATTCAGATTAAGTAACTAAAAACGCATATCATTTTCTTATAATAAATGAGCAATTAGTATAATAATACTGTATTTGAAAATACACTGTTAACGTCGAGCATCAAAGCTCAGAATTTTAACCGAAAACGGTAAAATGGATCAAAAAATCTTCGAAAATTTAGCTAGCGTGGTAAACTACAAATAGCATTGAAGTAAGCGAAGTAGATGAAACTTGAAAAAAATCGAAAATACCAGGAGGCAAGAGTACGGGCTGAAATATGTGGACAAAGTTCTTAACGGGGAAAAGTACCAGGCTGCAATACACTTGCCTTAATATGTCGAAATATACAAGCTCAAGTCACTTGAAAACACCAAAATCAAACATTAATTACCAAAAATACCATGTCTTAACAAACTAAGAGTATTGGAGACTCATTTACAGCCTAAGCTTTATAACAAAGCAAAGCTTCATACGCGGACAACAAGATGAAAAGCGAACAGAAAAATTACAAAAAAAAAAATTCGAAATATTAAGATGTTAACAAGACATTAGATAATCCAAAACGGTCCAAATTTAACATTGTCTTTAGTTTGTGATTGTCTTTAAATCAAAGTCAAAGTCATTGCGCCTCATCACCTTTTTCCTGCAAAAAAAAAACAAAATAGCTCAGTCATATCATACTACATAGCCAAAAAAAGAACATATTACAAAGTAAAAATTAAGACACCTTAAGCTTTTGGCATTTAAAGAATTTTTTTACAACTCGCAATAAATAAATTATGCCCAATTAAAAAAGTTTCATCCTTGAAAAATCAACTCCTTGTCCTGGAATTTCTTTTTAACGCTTTTCAGCTAATTTTTATCAACTTTGGATCATTTCCTAGGTTCTAACTTGTATCTGCACTTTTCTCACTTGTGCTTGAGTTTTAATAATAACTATAAAAAAGTGCGCTGTACAGTCAGCCTTATTTTGCAATCGCAAAAAAAATGAAAAATCGGGAGGCATTGGTGTGGGGTGTCCCTTCTCTTAATAATAAACTATGTCGAGGTGGAAGTGTTAGTTTGTCGAGGTGGAAGTGTTAGTTTGTCGAGCTGGCTATCTAAGTTGAAGTCGTCGGCTGTCAAGATGAGGTTCTTAGGATGTCAAGATCTGGTGTGCTGAGGCCACTGTTCAAATATTCGGCTACGTAATTGCATGTTGAAGTCTACTGATTGACGGAGCTGGTCGGTTGGTGCAGTTGATCATAGTCCGAAGTGGAGTTCACATCTGCTGAATCAAGCAGATTCGCTGGTCATTGTTGTAAGCTGTTCATTGACGAAGAAGATCGACTAGTCGTTGTGGTTATCCAAGTAATTGCAGGTTGAGTCCGGTTGCGATCCGAATTACAAGTAGAGAAGATGAGAGCATAAACAAAAGTTGTAGTAAGCATACTAAGAGTATGCTCACGGCAAAAAATCTGCAGTTGGGTATCAGGTGTCGCTGTTTTACAAAATGTATTTCTAGCATCGGGGTATCGTCGTTGGAGTATGTCCAAATTCGTATGGAAAGGCAAAGCTGGCAGGCTCTTTTGTATGTAATTTTCAGTATGTCGGCGTCGGAAGGGATGATCCAGTTTCATCGCTTATCTTAGATGCGGATTAATGACTGTAGAAGTCAGGAGCGAGGCGTATTGCTGGAACTTCAACACTTCCACGTATTTTCTGATCGACTGATGGGATCGGGATTTCTATGCGCCCTAGTAGCTATAATTCACGAGGAAAAAGGTCTTCAAAAGCCCACACGGCTTGTCCTCGAGTCTTTGAGATCTATTGCTGTCGGGGAAGCAGAGTTGGGATGAACTTTTTCAGTAGGCCTTTCAAAACATGGTGTGATAGCTGCTGTGCAAATTTCCATTGCTTCAACGTTGATGGCTGAGTTGATTCTTGGAGGCATGCTGAGGAACATTCTTCCGAAAAGGAAATGGTTAGGGTTTCGATCAGTCGTGATGGGTCGTGTGTTCATGAACTTTTCGTGCGTAAGCTTATGTCCTATTATCAAAAAGTTTTCGTTTTCAGTCATCGTGGCGAGAAACATGGATCTCAAGGCACAAATATCAACATAAAATCTGCAAAGTGCCCGAGAAAAAATCAGATTGTTCAGCAAGAACGCTACTTGCTCGACTGCAATTTGCAAAGACGGCTGGAGCTTAAATCACAATGACCACTTAGTAATTCCTTTGCAAAGTGAAATCAACAAACTGCTCAAGATACAAAAACCAAATGCGACATTATTACACAATGTCAAAACGAGCATCAAAAATTAGTCGGTGAATCGTTGATAATGCAAGAGAACATTATGTCGGTCACAGATGTGATGGACGTATTGGAATCTACCAAATTAATGCTGCAAAAAACTCAGAATCTCAATGAAGCGCAAGTTTCTGCAAAAAAGACGATTTGAGGGAGTTATCGAGAAATTTAGCGAGATCGTGTAAGGAAATAGCCAGATCGTGCAAAGAAACAGCAACATATATCGAGTCTTCTAACCTTACTTTTAGTAAAAACGAAACATCGGATGACCCTCGGACAATTAGTTCAGGTTAAGGAGCTTCCCGAAATCCATGAATCTGGAAACAAAGATATTCGGAAAGGAACGGCAGCTAAAATTGAGATGTCCAAAGGCGCACAGTATTGTCGAATAACTCAACAACTGTTTGATCCTACCCACAAAGGGATTCAGATTTTTACGATCGAAATCAATTCAATAAACTGGCAAATAACTTTATTAAGTTCAGGTAATACAGAAGACTTCAGCGTCAGCAAATCAAGATCAAATAAAAATACAGACCTAAAAATTATTAATAAAACTCTCGGATGATGCGAAAGCGCGAGGCCATTTATTCAAATAGTTTAGTGATAAAATATCGTTTTTAAATACCAATTAAATTGAATCAGAGCTACAGAATTGGAACTTCATTTGTTAACTTGTGAAATTAAAAACATCATTTCAAATGCCCAGACAGACACAACCAAAACCTTGAATGAAATGAACATCAACTATTTGCTTAGAGTACAAACATGAAAAATTTTTAAGCTAGCGTACCGTAAGAAACAAGAAACATTTACAAGAACAATGTATACACTTACAGGAACAAAAGCGAAAGATTTCTAAGATAGAGCAAAGCTTACAATTACATTTATGAATTCGCCGATACGCCAGGAAAGAAGAAATTCATTAAGTAAATAAAATAAATATATTTACCATCATCATTTTACACCAGAAAATCAAAAAATATTTACCATAAAAATCCGTATAGCGATCAGTTCACACGCCAGCGCAGAATGAAAAAAAATGCCAGCAACCCTAGTGAGAGAATCATCAATATAATTTTATCTATAAGTTCAGACCGTTTTAGTTCACTTTGCTGATGTTATAGAAGATGCAAGAGGACTGGCTATGAGTGGAAGTAGATTCCTGTATATCACTTCCTGTAACAGCAATCAAGAAAGGGTGAGCGTGATAGATACAGAAGATAGGAGAGTCATAAGCACTCTCGACACTTCAAAAACAGATGGTGGAGCTTTCTGTACTCTATTCTCTCATCAAAACATGTTCTTGATCGTAGAATACTTCAGCAAGAGAGTTCGATTAAACATTGCATCAGACTCGCTGGGAGATGCAATCTTGTGAAGAGGAAACTATCTACTACAACTACCCACAGGTAAAAACGAAGTTCCTGCTGTCGACTTAAAACAGTCTATAAGAAGCTAAATCGGTATTTAAAACAATCAAACTGAATCAAATGGATGGTATCGATATCCTCGTTTGGGTGCCACTAAGCTCACGTCACTCCAGATTCCTTTCACGAACAGTTGCAAACACACTGCATTCATATGCGCAGAGGGAACAGATGCTACTCTGAGCTATGATGCGTGCGGAAAAGACGAAGAAAAATATGAAAAAGTAAATATTTTGAGCTTAGAGAAGATCAACGAACAAATACTTTAAAAATTGCATGATAATTGCCAGGCTGCGAAATATTCAAATCAAACAATGCATTACTTATCAATCAAATAACATTTCGAAATTGTCGTATTAAACACTTACTAGGATGAAACTAACCACAAAATTCATCGGGTGAGTTCAATTTGACTAACTTCAATTATAATTCTTTTCTCGATAATGAATAGATAACTTTCTTAAATCGCTGTTTTTTAGTTCCAGAGACTTAAATTAAAAACTGTCTCATTATGGAAGAAAAACGTTTATCTGATCTGCACACTGATCTGCTCGTCAAAACAAATATGAGATGAAAACAACCGGTGCAAAACAAAGTTTAGGACTACCTCCTGTCAAAAAAAAACCTTGAGCTTTTGGTTCTTTAATTACGAACAGTTTGGTGAAAGGAAACTTGCTCTTGCGACATAAATGAGCAAAAAAATAGCAAGAACATAATTCAGCAAGAACAAGACCAGCAGTACTATCTGAGTCGATAAAGACCTTGCAAAGTAACGTATTTACGCATGCAATTGCCTCTTCGCCCAGAAACAGAAGCAGTCAAAAGAAAGACAACGGAAATTTACCGTTGGAATTTATTTTCAGCTTTATAAAAAAAAAATTGATATTTTAAACTTCCACACAAGCAAATTCATAGTGGAGCAAGGATAGCCGGTTTCTGTGCCGACTATTTCTAAAAAAAACTACAAAAAAAATCCACTGAAAATGCATAAGTCATCTTTGAAAGTCGATTTTGAAAAGGCATAAGTCATCTTACACCAATCAGCACGCTGAGGTTATGACAGGATTTAGGTATACAAGTTAAACTTGTAGAGAACCAAAAAAATCTATCCGAACTAGCCTAAATCGTCAGTCTTTACCGGTAACAAAAGATGTGAACATATTTTTGAGGTAGTGCAGGCTGCCTGATATAAAACGCTAGATCTCACAGATGCATTGATTCGCTATATTTCAACTTACACTGCTGAGAATCCTCGCACAATTCATTCCCGTCGGTTTTGGAGTTGACGTCTCCCATTTTAAATTCTATTTGAATTGGACTTGAATAAGTCAATTAGTAACTTCCAGGTATTTGCTCTTTTCGCCTGTGTTTCCACATTCTGTCTGAAATATTTTGCCACATCAATTCTACCACATAACCTGACGGTGAAAAAAAAATACGCAATTTCAATTGCACCGGATGAAAATTATGGTTAAAATTCAGATTTAACTAAAAATCATTTTCGATCAATGAGACACGATACGAACAAAGAACAAAAAGTATATTTCGAACAGCTAAGAATCAATAGACTGCCAGTTTCATATTGTTATATAAAGAGCGGTAACAGAAAACTAAATAGAACTTTGGAGCACCTAATAAGCGCCGCCATTTCTCATGGCATTTGCAACAGATTTAGCACCTCAAAAAGATGTTCATAGACAAACTCAGAGAACATCGTCAGACTCTCAAACCAAGTTAGTACTCCTGACTTTGAGACTTCGGAGCCTTGACAGATGTCGAGGATACCTTCTTAGGTAACAGAACTGCCTGAATATTGGGAAGCACACCCCCCTGGGCAATTGTGACCCCTTGCAGCAACCTGTTCAGCTCCTCGTCATTTCGTATTGCCAGCTGGATATGTCGGGGAATGATTCGATGTTTCTTGTTATCTTTTGCCGCATTTCCAGCTAATTCCAATATTTCAGCACAGAGGTACTCCATCACAGCTGCGACGTAAACGGGAGCGCCGGCTCCAATTCGTTCGGCGTAGTTTCCTTTGCGCAGAAATCGATGGATTCTTCCGACAGGAAACTGAAGCCCTGCTCTGGCGGATCTAGTCTTGCTTTTCGTGATCCCAATTTTACCTCCAGTTTTGCTTTTTCCTTTGCCTGACATTCCACGTTATCTGAAAATGAAGGTGTGTATTATCAATCATAGTGAAAGGCAAAAATGAGTTAACTGCATTAACAAATGACTAACAAATATATTAGCGATCATAATTCCTGAATGTTTGATTTTTAGCTAAAAAACTGTTTCATATCTCAGGAAGAAAACATTAGCGCTCTCATACAGTACTAATGTTTGCTGATCTTTAATTGCCAGGTTGTTCTTCTTATCAATGCATTACTGATCTTACCAGAATGGCATTCTTTTCTGAGCAAACTATGCCTACTGACTGATAATCAACACAAGAAAAAGAGTTGAATTGATGAAAAGTTAGTGAAACAAAGAAAGTAGTAAAACCTGTAAAATGCAGTTAATAATCAGCTCATAAAATAAGATCAAATTTAGTTCAAATGAGTTCCAAACAATCGTTTTTTATCGTTTTGATTTCTTACACGATAACAGTTTACCAAATAACAAGTTTATCTCCGTAGAAATAGGCAAGCGCCACTGCTACTATACACACTAAAATTGTCATAAAGAGAAACATCACAATTTTCTTCATCTTCGATGACTTTTGTTTCATTTCGAGGCTGAACAAAGACAACCTTTGCCTGTCCTGGAAATTCTCATGATGAATCATCGCCAATTTTGATTGGCCGAACGAACATTCAATAGGATTGTTCACGTTCATGCTTCTAGAAGTATCGCTCTGGTCGCTCGTTAACAACGTTACGGTAGTTTTCTTGCCCCAGTCCAGAAACACAAGCGAAGTTCCCACTCTTTTGTGGTTCAAAACCGCCAAAAGCGATCGGCTAACTGGTCCTTGACAAACTCTTACACTATCGATACCCGCCTGTGGTAGAGTAAACTTCATAAGCTCACTAAGGGTAGTTTTCGAGACAAAACTGTACATCGCCAGCTGCCGTTTCACTTGATTCATAACCACAAATTTATCATCATGGTCTTTCAGCATCGCAAATGAAAAAGGGTCAACTTTACAATTCAAGTCCGACAGATGTTGTTTCATAACATTCAAAGTCTCAGATTTTTTGTTTTCCACTATTTTGTACACCAAAACACTCTCGTAGTATGAGTAGTTTCGTGAGATAATTAGACCAACGTTTTCATTGACAGCCGAAAGCGCATCTATTGATACTTCAACTTCGGGCAAATCGAGAGTATCGTACCCTTGATCTCTGTTTTCAAGTTTCCAGACAAAAAGCTGCTTTCCATTTGTGAAAAACATGGATTTTTTCCCGACACAAAAATCTACAACCGAAAATGGAAACTCAGAAGACTCAACAAGCTCCAAAGTTTGCGAATCAAAAAATGAAAATCGACTTTCGTTTTCGGCTGAACTAAGCATGACAATTTGATTTTTAACCATTTCAACTCGTTCCGGTACGAACTTTTCCGATGCATCATACACGAGTTGATAAGCGAGACGCGACAATTGGAACTTGTAGAATTTAGAATTGATATCCAAACTAACATTCACTGATCCCGACGTGTTGAGAATATCGTCTGATGCTTATTAAGAAGGTACAATTATGATAGAGTTGTTCCCTAATAGTTTTAAAATAAAATGGTATCTCTTATACTATTTCCCCCATTTGGTACCTAGCAACGAATTTTCACCCCTATAAAGAACTTACTCAACGTTTAAGCATATGACAATTCTGTACCTTGTTAAGAATCTCCCCCTTTGCAAAGGGGGAATAAGTAATGAAATCCATAAAGTGCTACCAGTCAGTGAATGTTTTAAATTATCGTCATTTAATACACTATCAAATCTGCCAAACACTATGGAGAGCCACAAATTTATATAGCATTTCAGAAGTCTCGGACCAGTATATACTCTTTTTGGGACCTGCTTGAGGCAACCTCAAAACTTTAGGGTTCGTTGAACAACAAAACGATAGGATATTTTCTATTCTGAATATACTGTTTTGATATTTTGGGATTCCTCTATCAAAATTATACCTGTTTGATTGTTAAAAGATGCTCCTGATAGCATAACATTATTATGTGAACTTCTCAGGACTGATCGATTGTTCGTTGAGATGTTAGGATCGGAACTGTTCGTCGTAGTGGTTGTTGTTGTAGTTTCTTCTGTTATCGTAACGGATGAAGTCACCTAAACAAACACAATTAATCATTTTAAAAAAAAACTGTTTTTTTTTGCTACTCGCAGAGGGGTGCTAGCGATTTCAGCAGACCGGTTTTTTGGCAGACCGGTTTTTGGCAGACCGGTTTTTTAGCAGACTCAGAACAATTCTAAAGTCTGATAGCTAACTTCAAACGCGACCTTGGCGATTAGCGACCGCTTGCTCCGCTGCGCTTCTATTCACCACGAGTGTTATTGTGCGCGTAAATCTTTGTTTCCCCGCTATTTAGACTGTTGTGTTTTTGAAGTTGATAGTTTTGTTGACAAATCGTGAGATAATTGACTATTTTGGGTAAGCTTGGCTCCACACTGAGCGTATTTTTGAGTCTGTTAATCAATCATCCATCACTTTATTCCGTTGGTCAGCTAAAAGACTCATTTTTCACTTTTTATGCCAAAAGATTGGTCTGCTAAACGATCGGTCCCCTCGCAGCGGATCTATCAAAGGCTATCCAGCCTGTCTACGGATACTCAGTTTCTGTTATATCCACACATTCCAGACTGAGATATTTGATTGAACGAAGCTCATTTTTTTGCGACTCAAGGCCATTTTCGCGCATAGCACTTTCACGTGGCACCAATATTGCAGCCGTAATCGGTCAGGCTGTGGTAGAAAGTGAGAGCCCATACTCACAAATTATCATTCCCATGCCAGAAGATCGAACACTCAATCTGACGTTCATTAAGAGAGAATGCATTACAACTAAGCTACAAGAGCTATGCAATGAAAAAAAATAGCTTAAACTAAAATTTTTAACTGGATTTTCCCGCTTTCAAGTGCTGTTTATTGAACAAATGAATATGATTTAAAATCGATTCGGAAGAGCAATATAATTTAATTTTTAAAGATTAAACTATATGGATATTACTACAACGGAGTAATAACTCAAACCTTCTGGATAGAGATGGAAGGACTGCTGAACAAAATTGAGGATGAGCAGACCAGGGTATTCGGAAACTTGCAGAAAAGATACAAACAAAAGAGAAAGAGAGAAAAACACGGTATGAGTTTTTACTGAAACTTTAAGAGGAGCTCAATGAAAGACTGGGTGAACAAAGGAAGTACACCAGAGAGAACTCTGTAATTGTGAGACCCCCCTTTGATTCCGAGGACGCATTAGACAATTAAAAACACGAACTCTCGCTACTTATGGGACGATATATATACAGTAGCGGCTTTATAAGCGGGGAGCGGATGCCTTTCCCTCAGGGATTCGACCCCCTGCCGACCCAAAGGTTCCCCCTTTGTACTATTTTGAGATATCCGTTTTTGGCTGACTGACCTTAAAATTTTTCTATAAAGGCCCCTTTGGCGCCAACCTATACTAATTTTCAGGGGAGAACATGAGCTGAAAATGCGATTTTTTGGACAAATTTTCCAAAAAGTGCCTAAAAACGCTTTTTTTAAAAAAAAAAATTGCCTGCGCCGCAGAAAATTTGGTCAAATTAGGGTCTTTTTAGTGGTTTGCGAGAGCTCAAAATATCATTTTGTTCGACCTATAAAAATAAATTTTCCCCTCCTAGAGAAATTTCTAGATCCGCGCCTGCATATATATGCATACATCAGCCTACAAAAACAAAAGGCCTCAGAAATTTTCAACAACAATAGACAACATAAATATCAATGAATTATTAGAAATTGAAAACAACCAGAATAACAGGATGCAGAAAATCAGCTCATTTACCAGATGATTCAATTAAAACTTAATGCAAAAAATCAGACAAACAGATAGAACTAATTTTCATTGACAGCTTAAATTAGAACTAGAATGTTTCTTTCCCGAATAGTGCGTTTTTTCATTAATACGTTACTTTGTAAAAAAAAAACACTCAGTGCATCATGAAATCGACGCGTATGTGAAATATGCAGAGATAGGTACAAGATTATTGCATGCTGAGATTATCGCAATAAATTTTCAGGGTTTCAAAAAAAACGATAATATGCAAAGCGGAGAAGCGGAGCGTCGAATCATTTTCTATACCACGCAAGAGCAGCATTGCAAGCTACCAAATAGACAGTGAGATGGAAATATATGAGTTGAAAAAAAAACTTGAAAAAAATCTCGAAACAAACAAACAAGAAACACAACCGTTAGCATTAAGCAAGCTTTAAGAATTTTCTAAGCTTTCACTAAGCCGACAAAAACGTGGTTAGTCGCCAATTGATCCGATAACAAAAACGCTTTTTGAAATTTACCCCATTTGAGAAAACTGGATCAATAAGTAGAATTTTTATTTCGCTGGAAAGTCTGAAAATCAAATTCAACTTTTAAAATAGAAGTCGATCACGTTTTTGGGAAATTTACACTTTCGCTGTTCGATAGTGAATTTTGACTTCGTTTTAACAAAGGAAACGAAAAGAACATAAAAACTAAACAAAAGTCAAACCACAAAAAAATGAATTTGAGCCTGAGCTAAGTTTAATTCATTTCATAAAAAAAAACATCGCGACTTATATAAGTCTTAAGTAATTTAATCGACTTAAACGCGATGTGGCAACTCAGCTGACAAACTATATCCAGCCGGTACTCGAAGCCCACAAGTTGATTATGTTCAACAACTCGATTATGTTCAAAAATCAGGGGGGAAAATGACGTACTTAGAGTGGTTACCCGTACTTCGGATGTTTGCGAACGTTTTTTCAGCCACGTCAAAATGGTGTTGGACGACTCCAGGAAAAAACTGAAGTCTGTCAACGCTGCTTTTGAAAATTCAATTTTTGGAATACACATTTTTCTCGCTTAAGATACTCGGAAGATTATTCGGACTACTTGTCTTTCTCAATAAAAAAAAGGTAAGCTATTTGAAGAAAACAATATAACCTAAGTATCCGTCCATGGTTTGAGGGGAACAGAAAGAGCCAAGACAGCGGGGAGTCTGTTACAAACCAAAAACGTCTCATCTACTTATGTCGACACTAGAACTTATCAGAAAATATTAAAATCGCTTTGATTAAACAGATACATCTAGTTCATATACTGATTAATTGCCACACCACTTAGCCCAGAATTTTTCTTTTAAATAAGACTTTGCTAGCAACCTGGCTTAGGCAAACAGGTAGCGGAAGTTGTATTACTGAGCTACAGCACCAATTCAAAGCCAGATGAACCAAACTAGACTTAAATGAAGCCATATTGGCAATTTTAACGCACATAAATCGAAAACGATTAAAATTTAGTGTATGCAGCAGCATTTAGACAAACGCGTATTTATGTATACGCGGTCATAAAGTTTAGACGATGCTTATGAGCAACTTTTAAAGCATCATCAGTGCGTAGAGCAGAACCAGCTTATACAGCAATTGTGTTGATTGATTCGTTTGTGCAAAAAAAACATTCCAATCGCTCGGCCATATATTTTCAATTTTTATTAGCTTTATGTACTATTAAAGTAGCACGAAGAGATTCTGAAAGCTTGCTAAAACTCATAGAACCAATAAAACAACAAATCAAAACTTTGCACGTTTCAAATGTTAAACAAAGCAAAAATTAAATATTCAAATCAAACACTCGCGTTTGTTATTACAAACTGCCCAAAAGCACTTGGCAACAAACGGTTAAATAAATTGAGAGAATGCGTTAGTTTGTTTCATTGAAACTCGAATTTAGAAAAAAATGAGTGATCCGTTCGAATGTTGTATTTGTCTCGAAACTCTGGAGAATCCAAAAGCTCTGTATTGCGGACACTCATATTGTTCCTCGCCCAAAAATTGCCTGCGAAAGGTTTTAACTAGTGATCCGAGAAAATGTTCGAAATGCCGGAAACCGATTTCTGTTAACATTCGAGGCGAAAACGACTTGTCGATAAACTACGATTTGAAAACCGCAATAGAGGTAAGATTTCACTAGTTCTGAAAATTATCAACAATCACTTCTTTAAAAACTTTTCTCTAAGCAGGAAAAACACCGTTCTAGACTTATGATAAAAAACCTAGTTTCATTCTTTTATATACTTTCAGAATTTATCGAACTAAGCAAAAAAAATGCAATATCCCAACTTCGCATATTGAAAAATACTTCCCCGCCTTAATGAAATAATTTCTTCAGCATTCATATTTAGCTCTATAAGCTGCGATAAACAAACCAAACTGTTCGACTTTAATGTTCAATCTTGAAAACCTTGCAACTGAAAAGTAATCAATCTCTTAAGATCATAAAACTTTCGTTTTCAGTCATCAAGGCAAGGTACAGAGAACCCAGGAGACAAAAATCAGCATAAAATCTGCGGACTGCACAAAAAACCATTAAAAATGTTTTGCAAGAACGACACTTGCTCGACTGCAATTTGCGAAGACTGCTGGAGCTCAAATCATAATGGTCACTTAGTAATTCCTTTGCAAAATGAAATTAACAAACTGCTGGAAAATACAAACACCAAATGGGAGAGTATTAAACAATGCCAAAATGTGCATCAAAGATTAGTAGCTGAATCGATGAAGTTGCAAGATAACATTATGTCTGCCACAGATGCGATGGATGCATTGGAATCTACCAAAAAAATGCTGCAGAAACCTCAGAATCTTGATGACGTGCTAATTTTCACACAAAACACTTTGAGGGAGTTAGAAGAACAGACAGAACGCATAAAAATAGTTGACCGAAGTATCTCATCTTTAGCGAGTTCGTGCAAAGAAATAGCAACGTGTCTTGAGTCAGCTAAACTTACTTTCAGTCAGAACGAAACACCGGATAGTCCTCGGGCAAGAGAAGGAGCTTCCCGAAACGCAAAAAGTTGGAAACTGCAAGATATTCGGAAAGGAACGGCAGTCGAATTTGAGTTTTGTGGCGACCCGCAGTATTGTGGAATAACTCAACGACTGTTTACTCCCACCGTAGACGGTATTGAGATTTTCAAGATCCAAAACGACCGAATACAATGGGACAGAAATTTAATACGTTCAGGTAATGCACAAGGTCAGATCGTCAGAAAATCATGAATAATTAAACCATAACCACAGAAACTTAGCTCATAAATGAAACTTTCGGACGATGCAAAAGTGCGAGGCCAGTTTTTGTCTGCTAGTAAAGAGACGGAGCATCCAATGTAAAAATACGGTATAACTAAATTAGTGCTGCCGAAAGGGAACCAAGCGTTTAAAAAATTGAAAAAACAAGATCTTTGGTTTTTTCAAGATTGTATTTGGGCTGGAAAAAAATGAAAACAATTTAACCTGCCCAGACAAGCAGCCAAAGTTGTGAATAATTTGAGGATGTCATAACTATTTGCTTAAGCAAAATCAAAAAATGATAAGCTAGAGTGCCACCGTGAGAAACAAAAGAGCTTTATAGACACTTACAGAAACAGATGCAATACATCCCGGGGTTTAGGAAATAAGATGACAAATTTGCTTGTCGTCTAATTTCCTAAGCCCCGGGAGGTATAGTTTCTGCTTCGGTAAGTTTCTATAAAGCTTTCTTGTTTATAACGATCAGAAAACAATGGATGTATAGCTTCTGCTTCTGTAAGTTTCTATAAAGCTTTCTTGTTTAAAACAATCAGAAAATAATGGAATTAAGACAATCACTTGCGTAAAATTGCGTGAAATTGGTTTACAGACTTAAGTTAACTTTTGCTGAGTAAATATTGGCTGTCGTAAATTCCGTTTCATTAAGTTCATCTTACTTCTTGTTGTCTAATTTCGTAGGCCCCATACATCCCGTCAATTCTAAACTGAAGCAGTAATTACCATTACATTTTAGAATCCACAGATACGCCAGTAAAGATAAATAAAAAAATATATATTTATCATCTTAATGTTACACCAGCATATTGCAAACAAATGCACCAAAAAAATCCATATAGGAATCAGTTCACACGCCAGCTTAGAATTGCAGAAAGAACACGTTAGCAATCCTAATTTGATAGAATAATCCATGTAACTTTATCTAATTGGTCAAAATCGTTTTAATTCACGCTGATGATGTTATAGAAGAGGCGGAGAAACTGGCTTTGAGTGGAAGTGGAATCCTTTATGTCTCTTTCGAAGATGACAGCACTCAGAAAAGTGTGAGTGTGATAGATAAGGGAGATGGGAGAGTTTTAAGAACTCTTGACACTTCCAAAGCAGATAGTACGGCAGTCTGGATTCTACAAACTCATCAAAACCTGTTCTTGATAGTAGAATACGATTACGAGGTGAGACACAAATGTGTGCACATGTACAATAACGAAGTCTACAAAAGAACACTTCAGTTAGACATTCCATTACGAAGCTACCAGACATCTACAAACTACATCTCACCAACAATATTGTGCGGAGGAAACAATCTGCTATTACACAAAGCTGAAAACGAAGTAGCTGCTGTCAACTTGAATCAAAATATAGAAGCTCCAGCGAAATTTAAGACAATCCAACTGAATCAAATGGAAGATATCGATAGCCTCGTTTGGTTGCCAAGAGACAATGAAGAAACTGGGAAAGGATATCTTTTAGCGTCGGAATATTTGTACGATAGATTCAATTCCCGAATTTATGAATTGGATTTGCATGCCATTCCCACTACACTCACACCACTGCAAATTCCCTTCATGAACAGTTATGGTTGCAAAAACGTTGCATTCTTATGCACAATGGGAAAAGGTGCTATTCTGTGCTATGATGCATGCGGAAAAGACGCAGGAATATTGGGACAGGTGAATATTTTGAGCTTGGAGAAGATCAACGAATAAGTACTTTAAAAACTGCATCATAGTTTCTAGACTGCTAACTCTTCAAATCAAATAATACATTACTTCTTAATCAGATAACCATTTGAAATTGTCGTGTTTGATACTTACTTTGATAAAACTAATCAAAACTTTCATTCAGAGTGTCCAATTTTACTAACTAAAAATCTTAAAAAAAATAAATTTCTTGATAATGAATAGATATCTTTATAATTCGCTTTTTTAGTTTCAGAATAATTTAAATTGAAACAAGGCTCATTATGGAAGAAAAATGCAGCTTTGGATTATCTTTGTTTACGACCAATTTTGCGAAAATACTTGCTCTTGCATTATATTAGAGCCAGAAAAAAACAATGTCCGCGGTATTGAAACTTATCATAATCAGCTAGCAAACAACTCACTTTTTATCTGAGTAAAATAAAAAAACTCGCAAAACGCATTTACGTACGCTATTGTATCTTCGCCCAGAAACAAGAATCAGCAGCACTCAAAAGAAATTACAACGGAAATTTACCGCTCGTGGACTTAATCCACCAGGATAAAATCCCACGGGATATAACCCCCCAGGATTAAATCCCCCATAGAACCAAATCCCCTAGGACAAAACACCCCATATTTTAGTCAGTATGAATACACATTATATAATTTCAGTAAACTTATTTTATTCAGTACACATTATATAATATCACGTTTCGATTGTTTCATTTTGAATTGACTTCCATTTAGACATGCATCGCCATTTTCACGTGACTTTTCAGCAAGTTTAAATTTCCAACTTTCAGTTGACTTCTTATAAGAACGACCTTTGATTGCAAAAATTAATAAGCCACGTAGCACAATCAGAACGACAAGTGAATGAAAAATCATGATTCCTTCAGCGTGAGTTCGAATACCAAATATGACATTTTGTGCAATCAATAGAAAGGATGGTTAAATTTACCTTCAGGGCTAAAAAAAAACCCACGCTTCCACCAAGGTTGGGGTGCGGGGGGATGTTGTGAAAGGGAAGTCCCTGATTCCTCGAAAACCATTCTCTTTATTGTGTAAAAACTTCAGACCCCTAGGACCACGGAATGTTGATTTTGAGGGGGTCCGAAATTTTGAACATAATTTTGAACCTAATTTAATGTTTATTATGTTGACTGTTAAACAAATTTACACCCGATATAGTCCCAGCAAAACGATTAGTGTAACAGGTGTGCTACCAGTTTGCGTGGTCGCAATTTAATCCCCCCCCATTAGCAATCAAATGTTTGCCTCTTGACGCAAAATTTTGTTAAGTTTGTAAAACACGCCCATTTTATTAACTACCGAATCATTCAAAACAATTACAATGCAAAATAACAAAGTCAAATTTGTGTTTAGCAACAAAAGGGTCATAAAGCGCTTCACGATAACTACGCTTACTGTAAGAAAAAAGAGTCAGTCAATTCTATTCAGTGGGAGTGCGAGTTGCGGCAATCAAAGCAACAGTGTAAGGCAAGCATGTTGACTTCAAAGTGCGAACTCCTCAAATCGTCGCCAAATGAGCACACACGGCCCGCACCATCCTTTAATGGAAACTTATACCATTAACGAACAGATCAAAGCGGACGAAGCGGCCTGCACTGACTCTTCGACACAAAAGATGCTGTCAAATGCCCTGGCGAAAGCCACGCCAGAATGCTCCCCGAAAATGAGGTGGTGCCTCGCCACAAACAAAGGATCAGAAGAATCCGACATGAAAACCGCAGCCAGCCACGGATCCCAATAGGCTTCGATTTCGAGCTGCCTGTTCAGTACATGCAAACAATGAGCGGAGAAGATTTTCTGCTTCAGATTCGACAGTTCCGGGAACCGGTAAACGATATTTGGTGTTCGCAACCAACAAACCTTAATATCTTATGGAAACTGGTTTATCGATGGAAGCTTCAAAAGCTGTCCTGATAACTTCTATCAAGTAGATGAAATAACTTTTCCATGTATCTATGCCCTACTCCCGATAAACGACAAGAAACATACAACGCTTTCTGGTCGAGCTTGAAAGCAGATATCGTCCACCCCAGTTCAATTATGATTGACTTTGAAATGGCTTGAATCAATTCTGTGGGTGGCAACTTTCCAGACACAGAAATCAAAGGTTGTTTCTTTCACTTCCCGCAAGCCATTTATAGAAAGATACTCGAATCTGGTTATGCTGTGCAGTATCGCGAGGACAAAGAAGTCAACCTAGCTATACATCTTTTAGCTGCTCTTGCGTTTGCCCCGCCCTTACATGTACACGCCTGGTATAAACAATTACTATTAATTTGCCACATTCCTGAGGATATTAAGAATTGTTTGCCAGACACCTTTGTAGGCAAGGATACCCGAAACTCGACGAGACGGAAATTGCGATTCGACATGGAAATGTGGAACGTTCACTTCAGGACCATTGACGACCTCCCCAGGACAAACAATGCCCTTAAAGGATTCCACCGTGGATTCGAATCCATGCTCCAAATGTCAAATCCTGACAAATGGAAATTCATTGAGGCGATTCAGAGGCAGCAGGCACTGCAAACTTTAAGTTTCGCTCAAATGCAGCTTGGCAAGAAAGTTCATACAAGGAAAGAGGATAATTTTGGGAAAACAAAGAATTGTATGCTCTGCCGCTAACTACAAAGAGCTGGATTATCTTGAAGCCATAGCTGTTAAATTGCCCTTTTAGTTTTAAATCTTTAATCTATCTACTCCTTTTCTGTTAATTATCTTTCATCATTTGATTCAAGTTTTAGTGTCGCTGTTTTATTGATTTCGAATGTGGGGGATTTCATCCTGGGGATTTTAACATGGGGGATTTAGTCCTAGACCCGAAATTTACAATTGAAATTTATTTTCAGCTTTATAAAAAATGAGATTTTAAACTTCCACACAAGTAAATTCAAATAGTAGCAGGCACAGTCGATTGCTATGCAAAACGTTCCGACCACAACAAAAAACTGCAAACGTTTTTTTTTTTCAAATTACTGCCAAAATGCGTGGTGTGACGAGAGCGATATAAACGCGAGGAAAAATAGTGAAATGGACACTATCGACAGTTGTTTTCAAAAACTGAATGACAAACAATCAATGTTGAAAAACGTTTTATTTGCTTGATTTTCATATGAGGAACGTTTCTTGATCGCTCCACTCGCTCAAAATTAGACTAACACTCATTTAAAAAGATAGTGTCAGATTTCAATTTACCACAATTCCAAGTTTACCAAAATTTTGATGGATACAATTTTTTTATCCTGGAAAAAATCGTGGCAATTAATCATCTGCACCATAGATACTTTGAAAGCAAGCTTTAGAAAACAGCAAAAAAGAAAAATAATAATCAAAGTAGACAGGCAAACGGTTCACCGATTTTCACAAGTCAGAAAATTGCAAAAAGCACATACCTGATCTTCGGTGTAAAACTTCTTGGTCTGACTTGAAAAATTTTGTTTAGGAACTTCATTTAAATCAACTAATCAAGGAATGGATTTTACCGTCTTTTCAAGCAATTCATTTGAAAAATTTTTCATATCAGGAATAGTCGGAAAACAGAAACCACGATCTTCGGGGCCTCAAAAGGTGCTATACTACTATACTACGTCCACAACTGAACGGTAAAATTAAAAGATCACAAATATAGCCGGCAGAAAAGGAAAAGAGTCAATGAATTCAAGAAATTAAAGCGAAGTTTTTTTCAACTCTTTAAATTTTCGAACAATTTTCTTCACATAGGTAACCAAACTAGACAAACACGGGCCAAAAGGGAATTTTCTATTCCTCTAAAAATTCTGAAAAGTGAAATCCACTTTCGAAATTCGAAGTAATTCACGGTTAGTTATGCCGATTTGCACAGCAGTAACGGGAGAACTTAAAGGGCCCATAAATTGAATTGATTTTCTAACGAAAACCAAATTAAAACAGCAAACAAAAAACTTCATCAAATTGAGCGTCTTCACTTCGCTCATTAAAATTTCGTCAAAATAATCAAATTCTCGCAGATTTGTAGGACAAATTTTCACGAAAACAACTTTCGGCTGTTCTTTCAAACACTTACTTCGAATAGAAAATGCAAACATGCCAAAAAAATATGTCACTTGGCTTAAGTCTCGAAAGAAAGCATGTGCCAATTGACTCTTTGTCTATATTAGATAAAAACAGTTACCGGAAAAATGACTGGTTTTCGATTTGCTTTTGAAAATAGCAAAATTTATCACAAAGTGAAAAACTTATCACTTAAGTGAAAAGAGCAAAATTTCATCTGGAGAAGTCTAAATCAATCCCGGAAGACAAAAAGTTTAACTGTTGAGTCAACTTTCGAACTTCAGGGTAAAAAAAAATTGGGCTGAAGGCTCATTCAATTTCAAAAAGAACGAAGCGAAGCGTGGACACGACAAAAAACAGCTCTATAAAAAGTTATATAAAAGAAGAAACAAGCCTCGAATAAGGAAAAACGCGTGGACACGACACAAAACAGCTCTAAAAAATTAATATAAAAGAAGTAACAGCCTCGAATTAGGAAAACGTCTCGGATTCGATCTGCGACCTGGAGATTTTGAGTCTCACACACTATCCACTTAGCCATGGACGATTAATAAATCACAAGCACACGCCGCAAAAAGCATAGTACAAATCATTGAAAGTTCCGATGCTACAGATCGTGACAATAGCGAAAGTGAAATCAAATAAGTGAACACACTTTTCACAAACACTTTGATATCAACTTAACAAAAAACTTTTATCATAGCATGTTTTTCGTGACCTTTTCACTTTTTGCTGTTCGATAAGGTAGGTTGTCTTCCTTTTAAACTGAAAATGAATTGATTTTATGAAAAAACAAAGCCAACAGACAGTTGGAAAAAATGAACGAAGGCAAGAAAAGATAAAAGAAACATTTTTCGAGACATTTACATTTTCAGTTTCGTAACTAATTTTCCTTGCAGCAAAAGGTTTTGAACTGTTTTTAAGAAAATCAAACTGAGAAAATCAAATAGCATGAGCAATTTTTAGACTTCAACATGATAATTTGATTAATTTTTGTTTCCAGGCAGATCCTGTTAAGCGGAAGAAAAGAATGATCAACACTGAGGCGAGGCTGAGCTTCGCACCACTTGCGATACTGCAGGGTTATAACAGCAAGACGCTTAAGAAAAAGTAAAAAAGACTTTCAACGATGTTACACTTGAAAAAATGACTTATGACAACGAAGTAATTTTAGGAGTCCCCAATGGTAGGGAAAATTGGAACCCCAGGTCATAAATAAACTCGGAAAATTGTAGGAAACAAGATGAATGCTAAATAACCCAATGAAAGTAAAGCCGGCAGCCAATAAGCTGATGTTCAACTGAACAAAATCTGGAAAATAAAATTTATACACAACGGCAAAGCTTCGCTTCGAACAAACTTGCGAGAAAACGACAAAAAGCAGATCTTTAAAGTTCAATAACGCAAAAAAAAAACAGCAATGTCTGAGATTTGAACCTGCGACCTTGTGATCAAAAGTTTCACACACTAAACACGGAAGCTTAATATCAGCCACACACTAGCCACAAGAAAAGCAGAGAACAGGTCCTATGCAATTTCCAATGCTACAATGAAATTTCCTAAAAAATGAACACTTTGATTAGATTAGAAAAAAAGGTAGTTCCTAATACCACACTAAGCTGATCGCAAGTGTAAAAAACCATGTACTGCTTATAAGTACCCACGAGTGTCATTTATGTACTGAAGGCAATTTGGTATACACATTTCGAAAACTACACCCAGAGCTTAACCGACAACAATAAAGCCGAATAAGCCTCAGCCAAAAAAAATTATCGAAATTCTATAATTATACGTGAAACTAGATCTATCAAAAGGTATAGAGATATATTTGAAAAAAACATGCCTGGATAAAACAATGCAAAATTAGCAGCAGAAGAAAACTTACCAAGCAGTAACAATGCCCAAAATATCTAAGCAGAAAACCTTCAAGCTAATAAAAAAATTGAAGTTTCCCTCTTCCTCAAAACACACACACACCCTTAAAAAAACTTTTGCTCCTCGAACGGTGCAATAAGAGGCCATGAAAGCTATATAAAATAGTCCGAAACCAACTAAGCTCAAAAAAAATACAAACAGTAATCCAAAAAAAGTTTCGAAAAACTTGACAGTAAAAAATATTATAAGTTCACCTCTCCCTCAAGACACACACGCACACCGAAACCTTTTTGCTCTTCAAACGACGCAATACGAGGCCACTAAGGCGATATAAAATAGGCTGAAACATTAAGCCGCAAAAAATGACACAAGAAACCAAAATCTGAAGAAAAAAAATTAAAAATTGACAAGAAATTCAAGTTTACCACTCCCTCAAAACACACACACACGCAAACAAAAATTATTTTGCTAATTAAACGGCTCAATATGAGGCCAATAAGCCCATATTAAATAGTCCGAAGCGTATTGAGCCGGAAAAAAAATTCTTTAAGCAAACTGAGTTGGAAAAATTACTACCAACATAACAAAATTTCGAAAAGCTGGGATAATTAAAACACTAACAAACTCACAATACGCCCATTATTTGCAACAGAGAGGAAGAGGATTTGATTTGGAACGAGGACAAAGAAGTGAAGGCGTCCACGAAGGCCTACAATTATTTACGATAAAAAATAAAATATCCGATTGCAATACCCTTGCTTATCGCAAGGGTAAGAAACACCAGATAGCTTCCATATAACTCTCGAGCTGATAAAATGAGACTGTGATAAAAAAACTTTCTAAGGAACGCTCAGCAGTACATTCGTTTAGCAAAATGCCATTTTAGCCTCTAAAGTAATGCATCAACCTGAAAATTTTCTAACGCCCAATCAAAAATTCGCTGATAGCTTACTTTCGCTTTTGCATGAAAAACCAAGTATATTAGTTTGTAAGTGAGTATAATCAATAGAGCGATTATAGTCAAATACCTGGGAAAACTCGTGTTCATTTTCTTCTTCGGTTGATTTCAACTTCTTGCTCCGTCCTTCTTTGTAGCTCACTCCTGAAACAATTGGCCGTAAAGTTCTTCTTTGTTTAACTTTTTCTACTCATTTCAAAATATTGACCTCATGTAAGTTCTAGTTAGAGCTTTCCTTATACGAACAAGCTCACTCAGTTCAAAAGTTGTATTATAGAAAAAGTAGCCCAGAAAATCAACAAATATCATTTTACTTTCGCAAAATATCATCATCTTTTAAGTCACATCAAGTAAACTATTTATCATCTGTGTTTGTCGAGCATTTCGAAGCCGTACAAAAAATTGGCAAAGATACTTCATGTAACTCTATCTTACAAAAAAAATAAACAAACAATGAAAGAGGCATATTAAATAGTTCGTATACATATCACCGTTCACTACAAGAAAGCAAGTTCTTTTCATAAAAAATAAATTCAAAAGAGTCGCGACGTGAAGTCAAATAAAAAGAGCCTGTCTGAGGCAACAGACAGGCTCTTTTTATTTGACTTCACGTCGCGACTCTTTTGAATTTTTTTTTTGAAAAGAACTTGCTTTGTTGTAGTGAACGTACCTTTCTTTTTGCGACCACTCATCCGTCTCTGGGCATCCCCTCCCCCACCAACAGAATTGCTGTCTACACTTTCTGCGTCAGAACCATGAGAGGAGTCTACGGACGAAGCACGACCAGTCATTTCACATTCAGGCTGTAGTTGTCAGGTTAACAATCAATCTGAAAATAAAATCGAAAATTAGGCTGCTGTAAGATATGCATCATTAAAATTGTACTGGCCCCATTGGTTTTCACATCTTGAATATTTTCTCAATATTTTCAATTTCTCCAGTAACGATTAACTTTTTAGCTCATTTTCAACGGGTTCGATAAGTATTACAAGTTTTAATAGAAACCACAATTTTTTTTCCGAACTGAAACAAATCAAATTTGGCAAAATGACTTGATGAATCAATTTAATTTTGTAGCTGTCCTCGTGGGGTTGAATTAAAATTCAATTAAAGAGAAATAAATAGTTCCTCTTAATGACCATCCAGAAACTTGCCTAGTTTTCGAATTGGTTTCAACACTTCCATGACCCGAGATGTGACAGCGATAGCCACAACCACAACGTTAAGGATGATTATTCAAAAAATGATTAGTATTAGTAAGCGGTAAAAATGATGACCAGCTAGCTCCGGAAAAGTCGCTAAATCCCGCAATTGTAGAAATTATAAATTCCTACACAGGCGAAGCAGAGCTTCGCGCCACTTGCCCTGCAAAAATGAATGATATCACTACTTATCGAAAAACAAAAAATTGCGGGTTTTTCTCAAAAAAAACCAGAAAAATAGCAAAAAATTACGAAATCTTGGAAGAGAATTACCCACACCTTTAAAAATTTTACAAAAACAAGTGAAGCGAAGCGTCGCTTTACTTGCAATGCAACACATACATACATATCATGACAAACTAACCAACAGAAATGGAGATAAAAGCCGTACAACAAACCTCGAAAGAACATTTCCTACATTTATCCTAATTTTTTCTTGAACAAAAATCCTTTCAAGCAAATATGTCATGAAGTAAAACAATTGAATGTAATATGAGCATAGAAGGAAACTTTCGATGCCGTCAATTCGTGAGAAGACACACGTTGCGCCGAACGTTTCAAAAAACTTTATTAGAAAAAATCGAACATTAAAAAAAGTCTTCGATCAAAATGTTAAGATAAAACCTTTTTGCTCTTCAAACGACTCAAAAAGAGGCCTCAAAGCCGCTTTATTATAAGCCGAAACGTATTAAGCAAAAAATCGTAAGAATTGGGTTTTCCTTGAAACGACCAAAAATTAGGTCAGTAAGCCGATAAAATAGGCCGAAACAATTTGGTCCGAATAGCGTTTAAGCGAAACAAAAAAAAACAAAAAGGAAGTACGAAGTCAAAGCAAACAAAATTACGAAAGGAGTAAAAGAAACTCTAAAAGCAACATTTAAAAAAAGCGTGAAACGAAAAAAAAACGATTCCAAGATGTGAAAACTAAGCCTACAAACAATAAGCAGACAAATATTTCACCGACTATTTTATTTGAAACAAAGATTTCCCGTTTGAAAAAAAAAACAGGTCCTGGTATGTAAGCTGGGAACGCTACGAATTTGAATTAATTTTGGATTAAGAGACCACTAGAGACGAGTCCTCCAGAAAGCAGTGATGTCCATTTAAAAAAAAAACAATTTGACTTAATTTAAATTTTCATATAAATTTCAATTTATTTAAATGTAAAGTATAAGTCCGCTCAATTTAAAAGAAAAACTGATTTAAATTGAGCAATTTAATTGAAAAAAAAATTAAATTGCCCGAGCGGGATTCAATCCGACAACAAAGAACACATTTTACATAATTAAAAAAATTTCACATTTCAGCTTTCTGCGAAAAAAAAACAATCTGAGTTTCACCTCAAGTTTACTTTAATTTTTTTGCAAATAGACGAAAAAGCAAGATTCAGAAAAATTCAAATTGCTAATGAAAAGTTTAAATAGTTTCGAAAAAAAAATAAATTGACGCCAATAATTTATAATTTTCTTGACCATTTTTAATTTTAATTAAAATTTTTAACATTAATAAATTAACATTAATGCCAGAAGTCCTTTATAGATGCGTCACGTGAACAAAGTTATCTAAGGGAAAAAATTCTGGTACCCGATTGCAATACCCTTGCTTATCGCAAGGATTAAAAAAAAACGTAATTATTTGGTAACTTGTGATCAAAAATAAAAACTTACTGGAAGCTCATGGTTCCTAAATTTATCGGCTTTTACATATTCTCGCTTAAGACGTTTAGAAGCTCTGATACACGGTTCTGCAGCGATACAACTTTGAATTTATGTGCTTTTTTCGAAAACCATGATTTTTTGATAGTGGGCATGAAGCTCTTCTGTTTTACAGGCTGATTTGTTTTCAACTAAAAACTCATTGAAAAAAATAATGGAAAGCAAACTACTGACAGATCGAAATACATAACTTGAGCAGATACTAAATAAAGAGTTTGAAAATAAATTCATTAGTGATCACATCTCGGTCAGTGACACAATACAACCAAATTGATCGAAACATGAAAAAGGTGATTCGAAACAAGTGAATTCAAATTAAAAAGCAGAACTTGGAAAAAATAAATCCATCGTGTTCTTATAGACTTTATCAGCTAACTCATCAATATTTACATTCTTCACGGCTGAAATAACTTCCAAAACTTGAACTATACAGCACGGTTCATTTCTTCCTTTCACAAGCGAATCTTCCGTCCATTTTTCCTTTTTCACTGAGGGAAATTTCGTCTGAACAAATTTGAACGACGCGTGACTTGGTTTTATTTCACACCATGGAGCGTCAGTTTCGATCATCAGTTTGTCAACTGGAAGAGTTTTGACAACTTCTAGATTTTCTTCAGTCTTCAAAGAGCAGCCGTTTAGACCGATATAAAAGCCTGAAAAAACTAACATGAAAATTCAATGATAATATTCCCATGACTTTTACCCTGATTTCAAATATGATCTCAAACAAACGAAGAAAGATACATCGAAAAACCGAAAACACTGCTACCTGAGAGCAAATATGATCGAGGCAGTTGCAGGTAAGAATTGTCGCAACGGAAATCAGATGACATGCATGTCAGAAATCAGCCAAGGTCTTATATTTCAAAAAAATGAACTAGTATTAGGCTATAGAAAAAAAATACTACTCAACCATTTTCTATGAAAAATTCGGCCTGTGAAGCAGTCCCATCGAAAGAATGCACAACGCCTCTTCTTGGCATTAACTTCAAACTCCGAGATAAAATCTCTCTGAAATCCTCATGACAATTTCGATGGTGCAGAAACAGAGGAAGGTTGAAATCAGAGGCAAGTTGAAGTTGCTTTTCGAAATATTTCTTCTGTGTTTCTACCCCACAGAAATGAAGTCTGTCATAATCCAAACCACATTCACCGACCGCGACGACCTGAAAAAAAAAACGATATACCGATTAGGCAAATCGCACGACAATTTTATATGTTGGCCTTAGTAATTTATTTAGTAACAGGACCTAACTTAAAACGGCGCAACTTAAGACATAGAAGGTGCGACCGACAGTTTGAAATCAAAACAGGGATATATTAGGTAGTCTACTATCGCATTGACTAACCAAGAATTTTTCCTGCAAAAAACTCAAATACGACTAAAGGCGTTATTGAAGACGAGTAATTGGTTAATTGTAAATAGATGCAATCTATTGGAGGATAAAGTTCACAAAGTTCATTATACCCATCGAAAAAAACATATCAATATGAAAAATAAACTTTCAACACAGAGGCGAAATTGCACTTCGCATACACAAGCAAAAAAAAATGACCGATAACGCTACTGGGAAAACTGAATGAGTAAAACTGTGAGTTCAAAATGTTTTATAAGTGACGCACGCCAATTATAAATCTACATAATTGCTAAGTTACACAAGTCAATTAAGATGCATTAGCAGTACCAATCAATTTGAAAAAAGAAACTTACCAACTAACATGCCTAATTTATAACGCGGACGCATTTAAACTAGTATACGAAACGTTCATTAAAAGCACCCGACTCTGCCCAGGTTCGAACCCATTATTTTGCTGCTGGTCTCCCTAACTACCTTTACGCTACAGATCCATGGTGGTTTGAAGCTAAAGAGCTATTTGTTATATAATAGTCTGAGTTATTACCCTTAGCATTGGCTGTACTTAATAGCTGGATCAAAATGAACACTTTCAAAATGACATATTTTGTCGCAACAATTGCATCGCAACAATATTTCCGACTTAGGTTGGAAAAAAATTCATAGTATTACAAGCTATGCTTGTGTAAATAGATGCACTGTCCAAGGAATAAAATTTTGAACATAGCCAACAGACAGTTGGAAAGAGTCGAAGAACGTAAGAAAACAAAAAAAATCTTGACTTGATTATTGAAAATATCTCACTTAACGAATTTCAAAATAGATGATCGTATAAATCTCTGCAATTTCGGATTGACGCATTATAAAAATCACCCTAAATGAGAAAACTGAATATACGAGTAATTTTTTTATTTTACTGGAAAATCTGAACTTAAATCCACTTTCAAAACTTATCTTTCAAAACGAAACAGAAAGTCAAAATTCAAACTGCTAGTGGAACCACTACTTAACAAAAATTTTGAGCATTTTTTATTCGATATCGAGCTTGTAAGATCTTCAATTTACTAAGATAGAATAACCTTACTCCAGATAACATTTTTCCGAATCAGAAACAAGTGTCTTTTAGCATAAAGTGAAAACTCTGTTTATTGCAACATGATTATTTAACGAGATTTTTCTTTAACTTATACCCTGATATATTTTTTTCTTTTCATAGACATAATCAGAAGTTAAGTGCTACCAACATATGCTTCCAGACTGCAATTCACTTAATAAAATATGAAACCTTAGCAGCTTCAGGAGATATGGTCATTTTCGATAAGAGAAAACCTAAAAAAATGTCTCTTCGTTTGAACTTACAGTGCAGATACGTTTGTAACGTCAGTTGCACAATTCAGCAAATAAAAGATTTTAAATAAACAAATACAAAAAAAAACTTGCTTGCTTTTTTCATAGCTTTAGTCGCCTTTTAAGCACATTTTTCTTCATAGCAGTTTTTTGTTTTGCTGATCTTATAATTGACTGCTGTTGAACACTTCTTTTCCACAATTTGAAAATTCTTGAAAACTCAATTTCAATAAAAAACTTTTATTATTTTAAGTTTTACACAAAGACGAAGCTCCGCTAAAACACTACCGAGCGAGAAAACGACAAGAAGCAGCTCTAAAGTGAAGTACGAAAACTAGAAATAAGCCACGAATTAGTAAAACTTTTGCTATTTGTCGAACTTAAACGTACGACCTCGGAATTTGTAGTCTCAGAACGTAGCATCTGTGCCACGGCTCCTTAAAAACTAGGTATCACTAGCAACCAATGAAGAAGCTAATCAACTGACAAGGCTATGCAGCCAAAATGCCACCAAATATAAATAAAACTTAAGCTAAGTGAGGCGTTGAACCTCCAATCAGTAGACTGGTAGTATTAAGTCCTTCTATCTGTGCCACCGCCGCTTAAAGATAGGCAAACACTAGCCAAAAACAAAGCAGAGAACAGATGCTATGAGACTTTTCATGCTACAGATCGTGTTTACAGCAAAAAAAGCCACCAAGGGGGCACACTTTTTTGTGAGTTAGGTTGATAAAAAGTAGAGCCATACTAATACATTTCGCTCGCTGGGGAGAAAAACTCAACAAGGGTAGATGTCAGACGACCTAAGGTTCCTGTTGTCTATTCTCATCTATGAATTCTTTCTTTTCTTTGAGGTTGATGAGGTTTTTCGTGACCTTCACACTTTTGTTGCTCGATGGTAGAGTTTGCCTTTCTTTTAACAAAGGAAATGAACGGAACACTTAAAACATAAAACTCGAACCGCAATAAATCAAACTTGCATTTGAACAAATTTTTCAGGCATTTTCCTTAAAACAAAATCCAAAAAAGAATCACAAGACCTATGTAAGAGTTTTCACTACGTTCATCGACTCTGAAAATGTATCGAAAAAAATGTAGAAATTAACCACATTTTTGAGCTTTATTGCTTCGAGGTAAGCAAGTTACCACTGTGTTTGGTATCGAATTTTACACTTCAAAACAACATTGTAAATAAACAATGCGTAAATAAATAATAACATTGTTCCTAGCAACAAGTAAAAGAATCAATGCTTCTTAATTTTACCAGAAAAAAGCCAGCTCTTTATGACTATATCCTTCGATTCTTTTCACTCTTGAATAAATTTTTGAAATTTGTTATTTGAAACTTCGGTGTTCGACCTTCGCTGAAAGAATTGACGGTCACCAGCGTAGGCGAAAAAAAAAACTTTTTTAACAAAATTTCAAACACGTTTTGATAGACATTTTACGAGACAATCTAATTTTTGATGAGATAAAACAAAACCCGTTAACGACTGTATTCGATTCATTCAATTAGACGAGAGCAAAAATAGGTTTCTGGACCTAGCCATTAGAAAGTTGGACCTTGCTTTCGTAGTTCATAAAGCAATTTTTTCAGCGTGAGTGTACCTAATTCTTTTGGCAAAAGTAAACTTAGGGGGAATTCTTCTAGGGAATAAATTTATTGAAACACTAAGAAGAGTACAGAAAAAGGTTCTGTAAAAAACAGGAACACTAGTTGAAACACCATTTTTTACTAACACTGAGTGTCACTAAAACAGTTGTGACGCTGTAAATATCGGAAACTTCAAGGAATGAACATCTTTTGCAAAAGTGAAAAAAAACTCAAATTTGATCTTAAAATCACGTGGTACCTCGTGGGGACATATTGGACACCTGTACTCTTAGTATGTCTCAAGGGGGCAAAAGACAACGGGGTATGACAAAACCATATTTTGTACCAAGTATTCAGTATCGAAATCTAAGGCCATTTGAATCTCCAGGCGTTTTTAATTTCCGAAAAGTTGAAACACAGAGGCGAGGTGGAGCCTCGCAACTTTTGCGATACAGTTAAAACATTACCTCCAAAGAAAAAAAAGAAAGTCATTTTTTAAAAATTAAGCTTAAAAAATTACTAGAGAAAAGTCAGAAAAAAAACATCTACAACATTTCTTACCTTTGACTCGGACGATGTTCTTAAACATCCTTAACAAGCTTTGAGAATCCATGACAGAGCGGTAAAAAAGCAACAAAAATTGTGTCGACCATCGTATATCGAAAACGGAAAGAAATTTCAGACTAAAAAACTTTGAACTCTACCTTTGAAATGTTTCGACCCATCCCTCCTCAAACACGCAAAAGCATTCAAAAACTGCGCAACATAAGTTCACTAAGCCGATATAATATAGGTCGAGCCCGCTGAATCGAAAAAAAAAGAAAATTGATCAAAATCAGAGTTGGTAAAATTTACTAAGTACAGAACAAATTTCTCGGAATGAAGCTTTGGAAAAAACTGCATGAAAGACGTAACCGATAATATAAAATGAATTTATAAAAATCAGCCGCCGACAAAAATTAGCGTGAAAACCACAAAACGGAAAAAAAAACAATTTTAAATAAATATTTTTGAAAAAATTAATTACTATCTACAATGAACTAAAATAATTTTATTTGAATTTGCAAGAAATTGGCCCAGGCAGCCAGCACACGTAAAAGCAACTGCAGTAGCTCTACGTATCCCCTGAATTTGTAAGAAAAATTACGGGGCAAAAGTCTAGTTCCCGAATACTACTCACTTGCTCTCGCACGTGAAAATTAGTAACTATTTCTTCCAATATTATTTGCCAGTCGACAAGATTGAACAGATAAGAAACTGCTGGTTCCCATTTTTTTTTATAAAATCAACTTTCAACCAGTAGATACATCCTGAAAGAAGATATAGAAACTCAAATAAAATCATCAATTGAATGCAGAAGTACAAAGTAAGCGAATAGATTTGTAGAGACAGATTAAAGTGCTATGAGCTTTATGTAAGCCATGCAAATGTTTTTCGTTTAACTTGACCGCCAGCAGCTGTTTACCTTGCTGAATTATTAGTTTTAGTGTTCGCCAAGCCAACCGATCAATGGAACTCACTCGGAAAGCTCAAAAATTTAATGTACATCTTTCCTCTTCATAGCACCGAATCCTTCACAGACTAAGCTACAAAGAAACTAGGATCCGGATAAGAACTGTATCAGACATGCGTGATCAGACTTCACATGCTTTCTGCTCTCCCTAAAACGGGAGTCTTGCGCTAATTATATTTGCGGCGACAGTAGTCGCTCGTCGGGCCCACCGCTGGAACCTTTAGTCATTCTCCTGACATCACACAAAAAATTCAACCTTGCACCCAAAAAAAACAATGTGTGACATGTTTCACCAGTGCAGAAGTACCCTAAATAACTATGTCTATTTCGACCCTTTACTCAACTTCGCTGAATAAG